AATAATAGATATAAAAAGAAACTGTGACTATGTGCTGACCTACAAAATGACCGATTCGATTTTATTACCGATTAGTTACGTACGCGATAACGTGAGTTTTTACTACTTTGTTTCAGTTTGAAATATGTAAGGAAGAATATAATTTTTCAATGATACTGATTGACTATTCGCCTTTAGGCATTTATGACTGCTGCTCTCTATTGTAAAAAACATATAAATTAATATATCAAGTAATATCAAAGAAATTGTATTGTCAGTATTTTGTAGTTACTATTTGATGTTGTGGTTGACGTTCAGAAAGGAGAAAAATCTCAAGTATATATAGTCTTTATAAAAATCTAGTACATCTTTTTACATATTATAATTACTACTAAATACAATTTAAAGGTTTAGATTTTAGTTATTAATAAAGTCTCTCTCACTCTAACTATAGTACATTATGTGTAATATAATAATTTTAAACTATTTACGGGAATTTTGTGAATTTAATGTTTTTTATGTTCTTCGCTTAGCACGATACAGTGTCTCGCCTCGCAATGCAGTGATGCACCATTCTCAACCTGAAGAAGACTTCCGAACGAAGTCGATACAAATATCGCGGGAGATGAAAACATTAAACGAACACGAGTTTTAAATATTTATAACATATACCTACCACCTACCTACATAGATACCATACAAATAGGTGTTATAAATGTAAAAGTCCATTTGTATGTCTGTTTCTTACCTATCCATAATTAAACAGTTATACTAATGAATGAAATCAAAGATTAATTATCACTAGGACCGACATATCTTTTATATCAAAACATGGACCAAGTGGCTGGTAAAGCTAGTGTTTAATGTCATCCAATAAGAGGAAGGGGATTGTTAGTAATGTGGACTGATAACAACATTGCTAACAAAGTTTTATGTCACGTAGATTGCCACGCGGTTTTCCCTGGTCATCACTACGATAAATTCCTGGTGAAATCGCTACTATGAGCTACCTGATCTGATCTTATGCTCATCTTATTATTGTCCACCGGTGCCCCACTAGTAAAAAACTGTCAGCGTGCGCGGATGCATCAACTCATTACCATCCATTAACAAAAATATTCAAGATATTAAATTCTTTTTTAAATGTACAATTCAGTCATATTTGTCATCTAGCAGAAAACTAAGTCCGAGATTAAACAAAACATAACATTATTTGTATATAGTTTGTCCCAAGAAAAGGTGAGTGACGGCAAAAATACTTATAAAATAATATTAATAATAATACTTATAAATAGCCATATCTTTACACAAAGTTGTTTATAATATTTGAAGAACCGAAGCGAATTTAGATAGACTTTTGTACAGTAAATTCTTTTCAGTACACACTTAGCTACATTTATATTATAATTTTTAAATTGAATATTCAGCAAGACTAATAGTACGTACGAGTAATAGTACGAATATCTTTGTACTAATACAAGATCTAGCCTTCGTTACAAGGACATTTACATACACATACAGGTTTGTACGATATTTTTGTCTACGGAAATCTGTCAAATCGCTATGATGTACGAAGTTAGAGAACTATCTGAGAATACTTGATTTTATCAGATTTATTATTATGTGATTGTACTAGGCTAAATGCTAACGTTGGCAACCCTTGTATTGAGACAATTGAAAAGTGACATGTGGCAACAGTGGTATTTAAGTAACATGCTAAATTGATATTGGCTTTATTAAAGTGACCGACCGTGACTGAATATGACAATGTTAGTTAATCAAGTGGGACTTTAACCTACAGTTAGTAGGTATCTACTAAGCAAAATACTATTTCAATATTCTATAATAGAAACGTTGTATGCATCAGTGTACACTTTAAAAATGTCCATTGAATAGAATATATTTTGATTTTATTATGAAAAAAATATGTTTGTATTAAAGAAGTTATATGAACAGTTTTTAAAATAAACCTAATAGGCTACTTTACTCAAAATTACCCTTAAAGGTCTTGAGCTATATTGTTTAAAAAAACACATGGTTGAGCCGTTGTAAAGTAGGTAATTCTATTGCCAAAAACTCATCAGGGAAACAGATAAAACAATGTTTTTCTTAAACTAAATATATTTATTTTTAATCTAAAATACGCTGCATAGGTATATATTAATTACTAGTCAAAAACAATCCGACTTGACCACATTAAACAACTTATTTATATTAAGGGTTCATTTATACTGTCAACGCCATCTGTACTACAAGCTTGAAAATATTTATTTGACTGCTATTGAAAGCAAATGTATATAGCATTCACATAGTTGTAGTCGACACGCCTGCTTTGCTGCTAAGTATAGAAACTGTAACTGACTAATGCTCTTAGTTTCTAATAGATGACAGTAATCATACATGAATTCTTGTTGTCTTGAAACTATATTACAGTAATTGCACTTCATTATTCAATTGTTGTTTGTCTTATGAACGAACTATAATATTTACACACAAAGTATACAAAACTCATAAAATCTCGCCTAATCCTAGTCGATTATTAATATTCAGTAATTTACACAGAGTCTAGTCCCTTGTAATCATTATCGTTGACGGCCTCAGTGGTCTAGACTGGTACATACTTCCGATGGTCGGCGGTTCGATTTCGATCGCACTGTGCAAATATTTGTATTCATGTGTATGACTGCTTGTATCCGTCTGGGTGTTATCTAAGTACATTATGTATAACCATTACACAAGCTCTCCTTAGATTGGGACTAGATGGCGCTTTGTGAATTATCCAGGGTTTTTATTATTACATAATATAAAAAAAAGTAGCTGTTGCTGTCTGTCCCTATGTGTGCTTAAATCTTTAAAACTACGCAACGGATTTTTAATCGGCTTTTTTATTAGATAGAGCGATTCTAGAAGAAGGTTTATATATATAATACATGTATACCTGTGTTAAGCCGGGGCGAGTAGCTAGTTATTATTATAATCATTATCATTTAGGCGTAAAACATTAGTACTGGATAACTTATATTCTTTTGGCACCAATTAACATAGAAAAAAAAACAAATGTTTATATCATGTCAGAATCGAACCTATCAAACGACCATAAGAAATAAAGCTAAAGTTCAGAAAGTAACCACCAACGTCATCTAATATGCCGATTATGGTCTCATTATTGTAATTCTATTAAAAGTTTAATCTGGCAACTTTATAAAATATTTTTACTCAAACCGTTCTAGTGAGTTTCAAACACACCCTTACATTTTCATTTTTTTATTTTATTGTAAAGTAACATCTGTCTCTTTCTTTGAGGCGACATCCTTTTAGCATATATTTTATTCCTGTGTATGAATTCCTCACAAACATGGTGGTAAATTCTTATGATTTACTATTTTATCTCATTTAGTCGATTGATAATATTTAGTTCAATGCTTTCTTTTCAATTTATATCGTTTAAGGTAAGTTTCTTGCACGGACAAATAATTAGTAGTTTTAAGAATAAAAACTGTGTCGCATCGTGTCGCAAACTGTAAGAAGACTTCCAGAAGTATCTATCTTTTTAAAGACAACAATGAAAACGAAAGAACCGCAGAAGATCAAAATATCTAGTGAATTAAAAAAATAATTAAAAACCGTGTTACATCAAGTCATAAACTGTACCTAATAGAATTTCGCTGAATAGCGTAGACTTTTGTACTACAGATTTACGGGAATCCTAATAATGACCTTACCAACACTCAGTTCCACATTTAGATTTAAACAGCTCAAAATTCTTAAAATAGCGACACTAGATAAACAGACAGATTGAAATGTGAAGTACAACCTTCATGATATAAGTAATATATTATGTTAAGTAATAAAGTACATTATAGTAAGTTAATTATAACTAATAGCCATATAAACATGGGCTATAAAGTTGCTCGAAATAAATAAATAAAACAAATATGTGAGTAATTAAATCATAAAACTATGTATATAAATAACCCAAATAGATTTAAGTGATTGACATTAAAACTAAATTCTCACACAAAAGTTCTTTTATCCAAATAAGACTAATTAAGCCCATAACCAAGAAGCTTATCAGTTTAGTAGGACAAAGCACGGTTTCGTTGCATTCGCCAGCAAGGACATGGGCACAGATGTAGAGACAGGCGCTAGATGCGACACCAAATATGATAGACTTGTGTCATTTAAATTTTATAAGTTCAGTAAGATCTACCGTTTGTACAAATTTTTGTTCGTAGGTACCTCAGTCTCATATATAACAATTGCAAAATTTAATTTGTACTATATGTTTCATTTTATTTGTAGTGCGAAATTGCTTTGCACCGAGGCAGGACAATTTAGTCCTCCGAAATGACAATGATACTACTACCACGGACATAATATTTATGATGCTGTTAATTGTCATTTACCATCAGGCTTCCATTTTTGTTATTCCACTTACATAAAATAAAAAGTACTTAATATTAATTTGTATATTTATGATTGACAATAATTGTAATTAGGTATATGTCTAAAAGGTTTATGGGGCGGTCTTTGTAGGCTCAGTGCCATTACCAATCACGCATGGCATTATGTTTATTTTACTTGCTATCTTGATGCTTGAGCTTATGATGTATTATTCTTTATATGGTCAATCCTTGTTCCTTAATCAATGGACGTCTTCCGGGCTGAAATTATGATGATAATGGCCGATCCTTATTGCATTACAGATGAGATCCTTCCAATCGAAATTTAAATTGCATGTGTACTAAATGCGATGAGAAATCAACATATGGTACCATGTAAACGTCGTTACTTTAATTATTATACATATAGAACGTATAATAAATGGAATAGGGCTTATTTTATTTTATATTCATATATATAAATATATGAAATATCCATACATCGCTTTAAAAATGCATATTGTATGTGGTGTCCAGAATAAAAGTAAGTAATATTAATTTTCTGCAAAATTGTGTATAAGAGAGTTCCATTCTCTGCAGTGTATCTATTATATAGATAGATAATGTCGTCGCTTCTAGGTAACGTGAATCGTAGGCAGGCGAGGTGCGCGAGCGCAACCACCACGCCGCCACTCTACCACCACTCGCCGAAGTGCGCGCAACATGCCCACGGTGACTCAGCTTCTCTCTCTGCGCGTGAGTCTACAGCCTTATTCACTAACTATTAGCTATATATACGTATTATTATTTGCACAACATCTCATACATCATCTCTTTCATAATGTTCATAGTAAGATTCATAATATTCGGACGAGGAAAGCTTTTTGGACATAGTTCTTAAAATGATTAATCTAACCTTGTCCTATCTATAACAGTAAGATTTAAACCATGAAACTTAACAACCGTAACATTTATCTTTTCATATACCTATGTTATTCACTTCACTCTTAAACGGTTGACCGATTAGGATGAAACTTTGTTTCAATTTTGAAAAGTCAATTGGCTCAGCTTTTCCGGGCCTTCTAATATTAACATAACTATTAACCATTGCAATTATTTAACTTTCATGTATTAACGTAATAACGACGTACACATAACAAAAATTGTCATCTAAACTCGTTCTTTACGAGTCAATAACAATGGATACAGACAATGTTTATTGTTGTATTTTATTTCGTAAATTTGTAGTATAAACTGTACTTTACTACTATTTTTGAAGTATTCAATTCATCATCACCATTATCATGACAACTTATTGTCATCCCACTGCTTTGCACGGACTTCTCCTTCTAATATGATAATATTATAACGCTGTTCAGATGGCGTGGTATAAGCTTTTATTTCAAGTGTTTCTTCACTTTGACCAATATATTTTACCCTATTTAATTGACCCCGCTCGTAGATATAAGTAAAACAGTCAAAACGAAAGCCCAACACTCTATCTTCGTGTGTACATAATGGACAATATATAACTATATACACACATGGAAAATATATAAAGAATATACCTATATATTTTCAAATTAGTAATTGAGACAATAATATATAGTAATTTTTACAGTTATAATATTATCTAATTTTACAATTATTATTGAACCTGCGAATAAAAATCGTTTAGTAATTATTATTGTAATAACAAATTTATTTATTCACAAAATTTTACATATGAAAATATTTCTTTTACAAACAGTTATTGACATTTAGGCTTCATGTAACGATCACATTCCTGAATAAAAATTATCTACACCATATTCTACTGCAGAATTCAATAAGAGTAGCGCTGTGTAATTTATTTTATAAAGGTTTTGTTTTTTTTCCTTTTGACATAGGTCAAGAAATTAATAACTCTATTTAATCTATGTTAAGATAGATAATTGTATCAAATTACCGTCAACCGGTCATATGATTGATGATAATATACAGTTGCATATAATTATGCTACTGTTATTTCCAACACTGGTTTATTAATATACTATTTGCATAAAATCAGTCGGTAAACTAAAACATTTTCTATATTTTTAGTTTCAAACAATGAATAAAAATTAATATATTATTTACATTTAATTAAAAATAATTAAGTACAAAGAATAATAGAGTAAGGAATGTTGTTGACTCAAGTGTAAAAAACTATTTGTACTGCGAATTTTTGACTCACGGTTATATTGTCGCGAATTTGTTTCCGCATATTTTAGTATGGATTAGTTAATTTTTTCCATGTATCTCAGGGTGGCACGAGTAGCTGAATGTTTGGATCTTATTTCTTCGCATATAAAGTCATGTTGTTGCCTTGATAAGAAGCTATATTGTATTGTAGCTAGATCAGACCAGAAAATTAATAATATCTCTTTTGATGCGACACAACATATCCTCATCACATTATCAAGAAGTCACGGTCAAAAAACTTTGACATCCACCAGATTCTGTATAAATTTAATCTAAGGACCTAAGAGAACAATAAGCATTTGATAGTAGACCCCACATACTATGTAACACGCTGTCAGAATCTAGCAATGTGCGATGCGTAACGATACTACTAAAAAATATTACTGCAATACAAAATACAAACAAATGCGTCATATCTATCAGTCATTGAAATTAGAGTATACACAATTGAATATACACATATATTATGTTTCGAGAATCAACTTATTATTGATTTGAACAGATTTTCTATTTACAGTCACTACATGTAAACTGTGAATACCAGTCTATTCAGAGCTATAATACAAAAGACTTACATTCAAATACATTATTATGTCTAGGCAATATTATAAATTCCGATTAAAAATCATAAAACGTTGAACATTAACACGTAACATAGACATAATATTATTTGGTAATGCACTAACTCTTATGTAATTTGACAATCCAATTTAAATATTAATAAACCTTATTGGCAGAGCGTGCGTAAGCAGCAAAGAAAATATCTTTTTAGTTAATATGAACTCTATAATGAATTCAGGTTTCGTTTTTTAATGAGATTTTCCTAATTAAAATATATATATTATTATAATCCCTTATTTGCTTTATTTTACATAATAATATATTGTTATAATGTTTCATTGAATTTTTAAATATCAAATATTAAGCGTCATTGGTAATACTGTTTATCGAAATAAGTTTTATCGCACCTACAATAAAAATTAAAATAATTTTACCTTCACGACTGTTATCTCAGTTAGAGTATTCAGAGGCATTGTCAGTTTACGACTTCCTATTGAAAGTCATGCTTGATATTTTATTGAATATATAAAAAAAATACGTAGTAGAAGACGAGCCTAATTTGGCTGTTAGCCTAATAAAGACTTTTTCTCGAAATAATTTCGTTGGTTATCGTTGTTTCATTTACCGGCCATTAATTGCAACACAAAAAGATTTTGGTGTCGCCCAAAATGAACTCACTAACTTTAGTGTCAATGTTACTAGACCACAACGTTCTCTTAATAAATAATTTGAAGAATTTTAATATCACACATAAAATCGTCAAACTATGAACTTCCTTTTTTTGAATTGAGAAATATACGTGACGTGACGTCATTAAAGTTCCGTTTTGTTTATTCGAATAATGAACTCTAAAATGATCATCAACTGATTAAATACATATAAATCTAGCATATTATACGCCGCTTTCGCTTTCACCGTCCGTAATATTCCAATTGCAAACTATATGAAAATGTCAAAACATCAGGCTGGTCTCATGTTTTGTAATTTATACAGTAAAATCGCGATTATGCGAATAATATATATAATAGTAGCGATTGACGTATGTTTTGTATCAACTTATTTACTGCTAGCGTCTATCAGCATCTTCCTATAAAGATTATGTAGTACGTTTACGATCTATGTCAGGTCAGATGTCACAGTGCACTAGAATGTGATTGTTTTATGGGAATATTTACTCTCCATGATCGATTTGAATATTCGACCAAAAACATGATATTTTATGTGCTTGCCGATTAGGTTATCATGGTATAATATGTGTACATGCTACTTTGATATTTTTATGAAAAGAGCTTGTTTTTCGTAAACTAATCCATAACTGTACTGTGCTTTTCCTTGACCTTTACAACTTTACTAGATGAAAATAGGGAAAGGTGACCATATTTTACTTTAGAATGTTTTGGAGTTAACCAAAACATCCAATAAAAATTTTCAAGGATGTAATTTAATTATTAATTTTTTAATTCATATTGAGACAATGCACCATCACAGATTACACGACCTACTTTCTAAACGACATCAATATTAGTTTGAACAGTAAGAATTTTTTGGAAGATCATATGTTTATAAGATTGTACATATAGTCCATAAAATACAATCCACATTAGTATTAACTTTGGACATAACAATTGTTTTGCTAGATAAGTATTAATATATTTATCTAGAAGAATCATAGAACAAAAGGAGACTTATCTGATCAATCAGTAAAGCCAAAAAACTAAAACTGAACGCTTAAGAAGCCTCGAAGAAAGTATTTCATGAATACGCGAAAATGTCATGTTAAACAGGTAGTTGCAGTTGCATGTACATAGAGCTTGCTCTGTCGTGGTGTCTTTTACACCTTGACTTTATAGTTGTTGCCTTCTAGGAAAATATTCGAGGTGGATTTTGTAAAAAGTCGTCTGAATAATTACCGCTGCCTATATTTCAATTATATGTCTGCCAAAAAAGTTTGCTTTACAAGCTATGTTGTGCTTGAAAGCAAGAGATTAGACTGTAAAATTACAGGATAATAGGCATGACATCTTAGTCATCCGGAAAAGCAACGCATTATTAGTATCGCGGGTGTAAAAATGATAATGAGATGTCCATGGTACTACTATACAAGTTTATAGGAATATAAACATATGCGACCTTTTGCCATTAGACCGTCAGCATGTAACTGAAAAACTAGTGTACGATCGCTACGTAAGGATACATAATAGTGTAAAGGTAATATGGAGAAACTAAAGGGCTCTGTATAGTACGCAATATGCAGCCAGGTCGGTGACCCTCGACAGCTTGAGAATGCACAATGATGCACGAACCTCATCGCATAGATATTGCACCAGTTATATGTCTTTCACTTCACGTTCTGCCGCCGTTTCCCATGGTTTGTAGACTTGCTAATTTACTATTGTTTTTATTACTTACACGTTGATTCATTATTCTTACAGATACATAAATATAATATGAAAGATGTTTGTATGTGATTGTCTGATTTGGTGGGGGACTGATCTATTCCAGAGGGTTGCTGATCAAATTGTTACCTTAAAAATTCATATCTGCTGCTGGTGATGTTAATTATCTTAATTTAAACAGTCATTTCTACTTATTATAAATGTCTGTAATGGACCTAAAAGTTACTAAAAGTGATTTTGACTCTACTACATAGGATTCAAAATATAGGCATGTCAGATATAAAGTTACTTTAGTATTGGATGTATTTAGTTGACAATACTATTCACGACTAATAATCTCATATAGTCATATAGTTCTAATATAATGATTATATTATCTTAAAAATTAAATATTTACAAATAAAAGTCTAATATGGACATTTAGGTACGCAGGTAGGCCTTACACAAACCGATAAAAAAGTTTCGTATTTCGTGAACATTAAAACATCTTTAATAATAAAATAATAATAATTTATTGTCAGACAACATAGTCCATTTTGTTAGAAACAACTTACCCATAACCATAACCATAAATTAACCTTTGTTAGTAAAAATAACACTAATTAACTATAAAATAAAATAAAACTAATATAAAAGCGAACGTGTATCGACTTGATATATTTTGATTTCCTATATGAATGTAATTATGTATTGTATAATAATGAACTGCTAAGTGCTATTGTTATTTTCTAAACACATTCATTATACAATGTATTATACAATTGGCTAATTGTGACCTTATCTGGTATCTTTTTTTCTTCACGTTCCATTTCTTAGACCTTGAGTGTGGGCGCGGTGGCGACGCGTACGTCACGTTGGCGATAGGGATGTGACACATTGTATAAAAAATCGATATGGTTTAAATAATTACCGATTAAATATAATTCGATTTTTAAATTAATGTTTATGAAAGAGAGCGTCGTGTGTCCTAATGGTTTACTGCCCTAAATTACACCCTAGAGTGTGTTGAAATCTGTCGAATACTAAAAGAAACATTGCCATAAAACCAATAATTAATTTGACAGGAGGCAGTTCCCTGGGACTGCTACCATGTTGGATTCAAACACATTCAATAAAATATGGGTATTACAAGCGCTGAGTTCACCACAATAGCGAATCTTAATAACGTTTCTGACTGCGCTAACTATGCATCTTATGGGATAACGGTCTTGACAGTATGTTTATTTTGCTCCTTGACCTGTAAATGTTCTTGTATTTTCATCGCCTGGGTAAAAAAATCTAAAAATCGTTTTTTACGTAGATGTTTATTTTTCACATCCCTAGTTGACGACCATATTGGCATTGCGCGCGCTTTCCGGATCACAACCGGACATGAACCGTGGTATTCATTATTCGACAACAGACAAAGTTATTGACGGTCTCCATGACCCGACCATTGTTTCTGAATATATAGGCAAAGAGGACACTTGGTGATAGGTAAACACTCATAACTGACTCGTTAACGTGAACTATGCCAGGTAATTCGAGCGTATTAGCAATTTATTTTTACGTTACTCGACCTTGGTTGCTTAGCGGTTTAGCATACTCTGATAGTCGTGAGTTTGATCTCCATTTGTTAATATTATCTCACCTGAAATACCTCAGGATCATAATTGTATTGGTCTGGTTGGTATTGTTACAAAAACATAATTATTTCTATTAGGTGCTCTGTATATATAAATGCTCAACTTAGTTTAGGACTCGATGGCGCTGTGTATATTTATTCCTTGTTGCTTAATATTTTCACGTGAATATTCTCTTTGTACAATTACTTACAGTATTTAGTATCTTCACTTATTTGTTTTCAAGTCTTCGAACTTCAAAATCAAGTTTTTACGAATTTGACATTACATACCCTATAAAAAATCTTATGCCTAATCCGGCATAGATAAACAAAAAAAAGTATAGAATATCCATTTTACAATAAAAATTATAAGTGATATTAGATACGATATAGAATTCAGCCGTCAGAACAAAAGTTATTAGTTCTATAAAAATAAATAATTAATGACGCACAAGAGCCCTAACTCAACGACAATTTCCCACGTAATGTGAAGTTCTATATTACACTTGACACAAAGTACCCAATAAAGTATACCTAAATAGGTATATGATTTGTCTCTCAGTTCACCACGCCCTGTTCTAAATGTCCTAACGCTTTGTTAGATTTCGCAAGCAACCAACGCGTACCTACACTACTTATGTGGGACATATAAATGTAGTGAGAATATTATGTGGTACATACTTTTAAACATTGGAAGTAGTGTGGGTGCATTGAGACATTAAAAATAAAACTAATGCGTATAGAACCAACTCATTCATTGTCAAATGTGGGCAGATACCTATTACATAGGTACTACTAAATAACGCACGCACGCAAAAGAACTTTTACAGTCTACATCTGGTAAAAGAGAATTCTTTAAAATATTGATAAAAATAATAAATGTTTTTGTGTATATATAATTTTACGCTTAATAAGAGAGTAGAGTAGTAGACTATAGATACCTACAGACACTTTTCTAACTCTAATACAATAATTGCTTGCCAAGTTTCGACTAAAATCGACTTTAACAATGTCCCTAAACTCTAATTGGATAATAATATGAATATTGAACAACTCTGTTTCTGTAAATGTAATGTTAACACGAATTATTTAAACTTAATATATGATTCCATTCCATTAAATAAAGTTTTAAGATCGTACTTCCTGTAGAATAATAACGATGTTTGATGATTATCGTTGACAAAATAGTTTAGATTGACATCTGCATTTCCACTTTATAGTTAATTTGGTTCTAACGCAGACTAAACCTTGATTTTAGAATAATATAGAATCAGTGGTGGAGTGAAATCAACTCAAAATTCCCTACAAGGGAGCGATCTAGGGCGCTCCTCCCACTGCTCCGGTATACATATGTACCCTGATATACATATATTTTCATTGTAAATAGATATTGACTCTAACTAAAATGACAACTAGCATATTAGCTACGCATTTATATATTCTGACTAGTCATACTAGATCGACGTAAATTGAGCTCTCAATTACCGTGTCTTTTATAGGTATCGTAAATACCAACACTACCTTCTATACTTATTTGCTATAAGTTCGGGCAATTACTCCCAATACTCGAACTGTAACTTGATAGTACATAAATAACCATAAATAAGAGTCATTTCTGAGTGTACTTAAATGAAAGCGGTTAACCCGTGTCAAAATCCATGGTTAGGTTTACTACAAGTATGGTAAAAGATGACAAATACATAACAGACAGTGTCTATGTTTTATACTTATACAATTATTGTTCTAAAGTTTTATAACTGACTAACTAATTTAGTAGCTATTATATTTAATTAATTTTGTCAATCTTGGTATTTAGTAGTTTGTATTTATACAAAATCTTAACTATGTAATGCAGAAAAACATTTATTTAAAAGAGCAACAAGCAAGTTTCTTAAAGCTTCCGAATGAGTGATAGGATATTAGGTGACTATTCAAAAGTGCTTATGTTATATTTATTTGAGTAAAGATTTTATCTATTATACTATTTATGCGTGTATTTTTATGTATTTATATATGTATGAATATACCTGATTTTTATGTAACTGGCAAACAATATGACGATCCATAATGGTTTATAGGAAGGCCATGTTGAACGTAATCCATGAACCATGAACACACACATGAACCAAATGAACATGGTAGCTAGGAATATGCCAACACGATTACCTACGACACCCTTCTTGCCTGCCATATTAGTTAGATTTAGAGATTTTGACATATCATCTCTAAATTTAAATAATATGAAATAGGCAGGAAATGTTTATTAAGTAAACTTAACTTGAACTAGAAGAAATAATAACCTTTTACTTGGAGCAGCCTTTTTTAAATATATATAAATTAAAGACACATATGACATTAACGCACTTTTAATTATTCATTCCCATGTTGTCAATAACAGCAAATTCTGTTCTGATAACATTATGTAGGTGCAATAAATATTTTTCGTACATGATCGTATCCGATATTCCGTGCATGCTTGCAGTTATTCCAAGTAGTCATGTAGGTATATCATGAATCATTAATGGAGCATTCAAGGTAAATCCTAATTGCTCTCTTTATTTACAACCAACGCGTAATGCAATTCATAAAACCTGTTTCAATATAAAGCCAGGAAAAATGTAGCCCAGGTGCAGTTGAGATTAATATCTTTGGACCTGGTAATAATTATTGTAGGATCTCTCCCGATAATGAAAATAATATATAAAAACAGTATAGGTATATGGTCCAGAAAAGTTCAGTAACTATTCAATAGTTAGATTTAAAATTGTCATCAATTTCACTAAATCAGAATATTTGTTTTCAATATTAAATATATATCCGAATTAAAATTATTATGTATTTTAGAATAATTTTAAATATATTATTACATAATAATGTACAATTGAGGAGGAGAGTTCTCAGAAATTAATATACAGTTTTCCAGAGTGACATAGTCTATATATTATTTTGATGTATACAAATCTCACAAGGCGCTACCCACTAGTAATATGAGATAATAAAATTAAAGTAAATGAGAATGTTGCTTTAGAAAATATTTTTTATCAACTGAATTTGAATATAATCATGAGGTTATACTATTATTAAATAAAATATACTCAAATTCAGTTTTGAGATACTAGAAAACATGACTGCTTTCTAGAGTCTCAAATATTTTATAATAGAGATGAATATGAAATTTTGTAACAAGGTATCGATGTTTAGTTAAGGGATATTGAGGACTAATGACTCCATTGTTAACAATCTTATCAGGTTGACCTCGCAGTTCTCTCTGGAACCCATTAAGATAAATTCCAGGTGAATCCTAACACTCTAAACTGGAGCTACGCCAGCATTTACTGTTAGAGCTGGCTGGAGCAACATGCCAGTGTTACATACTAAAAAAAGTGTAAGTAATGACAGATTCTTTTATCAATTTCCAGGTCCTATGCCTGGTTGTAGCTGTGGTAGCAGAACCGGTACCAGGTCGCGTCCCCAAGGTTTACAACGCACTAATCACGTCTAATCAGAACTTGGAGCCGAGTAAGGCGTTCCCTGTCTACCAACCCGTTCTACACGATACCTTCGCGTATCCCTATTCACCTTCAATTTATTTTGGAGACTTTCCACTTAATAATGTAAGTATTGTTCAAATATTTTTACTTTTACCAATACAAAAAGATGGCAATATAGTAATACCTATACCTATATAATCTATGACTTGATAGTGTAATATAATAAATAAATCTTTATCACTAACACGAAAACCTAAAACGCATTATATTTAATACCTGAAGAATTCACTATTTTATTCTTATTCTTTTATCCATCACTATCGTCACGCCAGCGTATGTATGTATTTTATTTCAAATGACCGTTAATTTTAGATTTTTTTTTAAAGGTAAACCTTTAAAGAAATTTATAAAAGGTTTATTACAGAGTTTTTTGAAATCGTTTGCATTATATAAAATGTGCTATTAATAATAACTTTATATGAACATCAATCATCATCATCTGCTTCTTCCTTATCCCATTTATTTGGGGTCGGCGTAATATGTTTTTCGCTTCCATTCATCCCTATATTTATATGAACATCAATGACACCAAGTATATAGGATATGTGATTCTAAGATATTGAAATACTTATTTTCTAATGTTATGAATTGTTTGTTGCTTCAGATTCTAAAAAAATAATAACTCTTATTTGTTGTTTATTGAGAGATCATGTACATCAAACAACATAGAAAAATCGTAGAAAATTATTGAGACGATATATATTTACATATTACTGTTATGAAAACATAGCGTCTCATGAATTTTCTCCGATAGTTCTTTGTTTTTTATCAAACATTACAAAATATTAAATACAATAGCATTAATAGCTAACCACTGGAGGTTTATGGTAATGCTAATATTTACTTTTTAATTTTTGATTGTTTCTTTCTTTGAGTTAAATTATAATCTAGAGTTATAACTATTTTTTTACACTAAACATCTTTTTATTACGTATTATTTATTAATTATAATTATTAATGAAACAAATTTACTTTATTCCAGGGGATACAATCTATACCTGGCCTGCCACCGAAAGAGCCAGTGCCAAACCAATCGCCAGCGCCAGCACCAACACCGCAAGAACCAATAGAGAAACCAACAGAACTCCCGCCATCTTCACCCGAACCTTCTGAACAACCACGAAGCGTATCAACAACGCCACCTCCACTGCCACCCAGTACTGAATCTCCCATTCCTCTAAACGAATTTGGACTGCCACCTCAAGTCGTACCTTTAGGGCGACTCGACCCAGCTTACGACGGCTATTCTCAAGTGGGACCCCTGACTTACTCCTATCCCAGTTTTCGGCTATACGACCCATTCGATCCCTTCCATTTCAGCCCTTTCGCTCATCTGCCTGCACTATATCGACCTTTTCCAAATATTATAAGGCATAGTGCACCTATATTAATAAACAAAGAGACATTCCCTACGGAAGCCCCTTCAACACGTATAGAACAATCGGCTGAGACCCCACCACCAGAACCTATTGATCTCAATCTTCTAAATTACTCATCAAAAGACCCAGCGATACCCAACGTGCCACCGCCCCCACTGCCACAAGGGAATCTTAAGTCTGAAAAATCAGAATAATTATCTACCATTTATTATCAAAGGTATTAAAATAAATATAACAACAAGATATGTAAAAATTAAGCAACTGAAATTATTAGTATTAAGACAGAAGATATTAGAGGCATGACAAAGTTCCTGGAGATTGTATTAATTTATTGTACAATTTTTACACAAAATATGTGTCGTTATATACACATGATTGATGGTATTAAAGTTAATTATTAAGATTTATAAAAATGTAAATCCCAAACAATGCGTGTCTTCATTTCAACTCTTCGTATGTAGCTACTCGTTATAATCGTTATATATAATGATAATAATAATAATATTTACACAATTACCTACTTATCTACTTACACAAATACCAATCAATATAGTATTTTTGTTATAAACTACTTATAAAAAATAACATTGTCACAGGCTACGATTTACCAAGCAAGTTACCTACTTAACAATCAAGTTAATTTGTAAGTTATGTTTCTGTTGAACGGTTAAGTAAGACATTACGTGATAGGAGGCCTAACATCATGACCATAGTCTACGGAATGGCAACAAATGAGTGGTATCACAGTCGTCACATGATATGATGATAAGAGGTTCTCAATTCATCTGTACAATTTTGTGTTCTCTTAAACCTTTCTCTATGTGACTCAACTTTGATCCTTCATTTTTACTTGAAAGTTAGTGCTTTTTATGCGACCTTAGCTGCGTTAGTTTTTTAATTATCTTCAATAATGATATTGTAGTCGGTTGGCTCATTTCTTAGACAGTGTTATATACAATGAAACTTTTGAAATCCTCTGACTGTCTCAGGAACTTAAAATTTGCATTTCCTAATTTGGTAGGCGTACTTTTTTGTAGGAACATACTCTTTCATTCGCCATATGCCCATTCCTCATTTGGGGTTAGGTACTTCTTCTAACTACATATTCGAATAAAACGAAACAACAGACAATTGTATCATCATTGTTCAGATTATAAAATACTAGCATATATACATGTTTATATCCATATTTAAGCAGTAGAATTAGTATATTCAAATTAAGGTTTATTAAATATACAATAAAATTTATTATATTTTAGGGCATTTTTTCCGAACACATACAAAGTAATGGGATGCGTTTGCAAAAACATGCTGCGTCTGAGAGTAAAATCAGCTCCCCAAAGAATCATCACCTATTTAGGAATATAATTTTCAATGAATAATAAATCTTATAATAATTCAGGATAATTCACACAGCGCCATTTAGACTCAAGTTTAGCTAGTTATAGCTTGTGTGTGTACTAGATAATTGATACAAATCCTTAGATATTGTTTTCATAATTACATACATAGAAAACACCCAGACCGATACAAACAATCATACCCATGAATGCAAATGTTTGTGCCGTACGAGGAATAGAACCTGCGACCATCGTAAGTAAGGCGGTGTGCGAAACCGCTAGACCACCGAGGCCGTGTTATGTTATATTATGTATTTTTTGTTTTTTTTTTTATAATTAGCCATAGGACGATAACGCTGTTAAACCTGATGATGAGTCCAGAATCCATTATGAAAATTGTCATACTACATTCCTTAAGAAAGCATATGAAGCGTAGATTTAGGCGTAGTGAAGTATATTCTGTGAACTTCGTATTACAAATGAAATAATTTTCATAAAAACAATAATAATCCATACTGTTTTACTATTCCCAATAATAGAAACGAATACATAACAGCAATATGGAGGTTATGAATAAATATAACACACACTGAAGTAACAAACACTTCACCACGCATAATATTGACTTTGTTAAAAGCCATAGTAAATTGGTTCTTTGCCGCGAGATAACAGATTTCATCCATTGTTTAACAAGTAGTTGGTGTGGTAAAATCAATTAATCTGGCTATAGCTGTTATCATATCAAGAGCGTTTCCATATGTAGGAAAATAACATTGATGCTATAATACTTTGATTGCATACATCTAGTTGACAGGATGATATTTTTTGTATGTATACCTATTATTAATTATTTTAGTCGATAGATTCGAGAATTAACAGTAAAGAGCAACTTTAAGTTACAAATTTGAAGAGTATTATAGAAGTTTTGTTTTTCTTAGTAAAACAATGAAATACCATATAACTTTTATAAAGGGATTTAATAAGTCTGAACGAAAACCGCGCATTAAAAAAACTCATATACAGCATTTTGTCTATCCAACATTGCTTACCCAAACGTGCAATATACCTAGATGCTGCAAAAAAAGACTATGCTTTAATACATGTTTTACAGTTACGTTAATATGAAATATAATATTACATGCTTTCGTATCTACTTACATACATTACTGCCATTCTTTTGAAGGTGAACCAAAAAAATATAAATCCCAATTCATACCACCGACCATGTCGTATGGTAAATACCATTCGTAGTAGTGATATTTGTATCGTTTCATTGAGTGACAATATGTTATGCGAGGGACACACATCTGGAAGTTGAAGGCGGTGCTTCGAAACATGTCGTTCTCGTATGAAGTGGCTCGTAGTAATATGCATGTTGGTATCCTTATTACTTCTATCCAGCCCTGAAATAGAATCCAAGGCATTACAGAAATTAAAGAGTAAAGGAGTTTTGTTAACGAGCTTATGTCACAGATTATAATTAATATTTTTAGCCCAGTAAACATATACTACAAATTTATTTTAGATGAGGAGAAAGGGCAAAGAATATATGATCGCCACAATGAATTTATAAAAATTATTACTGAGGAAATAATAGAAGGAAAGATGAGTAAGGTGGAGGGGCAGATTACAGCATTAAGCAAAATAAAGACAAAATGAAGTCGTGTCATATTAACATTTAAAGAGCATGCTGGAAGATCGTAGAAAGTAGAAAGGGCTCCACTGACAAGAACGTGGCTCTTAAATTATGAATGAATGCAATATTTTTACAGAGTTTGTATAATTGCAGCCAACTCTATAAAAAAGATTAATTGGACGTCGTGAAGCCATAATTCAGAACAACTTGATAAATGAATTAAATTCTACATACCCTTATTATGATTTTTCCCAGAACATCCATATGGTCTAAATGAACATGAGTATACAATATATTGTTCGTCCTCTTACATTCTCCAAAATAATATTCACTATGAACATACTCTGCAACATTTATAAGAACAAATAAATAGATTATCTTGTATGAAACAAAGCTATTATAAAAATTAATCGACAATAACGAATTAAACTCAATAACCTTTTTTGTTCATAGGTCAAGGCAAATAATATTAACATTTTAGATGAGAATTTTTTTTATAAACAAGTTTATTTTAGAATAACTCACTGAAAATCTCAATTTAAAAAAAGGACATATCTTTAGCTCATTCGTTTGAACAGTCGAAGACAGAATAAAAATATGCAAAATATTAGAATTACAATAAATTTTCAGAATAACGAAGAAATACCTTTATATTTACTGTAACAATAGAGTAAGGAGTGGCGGGACGATTTCAGTGAAACCTAAATATTTACGGCAAAATTTCGTTTGGAAGTTTTGCTATCGCGCTTGGATGAGGGAAGACGCAAGGTCTTTGAATGAGAAGAGAATGGACACATAATTAAGAATATCTACATCGAAATTATATTGCAGGACACATTCCTTTTAAAAAAAATATAAACAATACTTACGAGGATCAGGAATCGAATTAGTTAATGTTAAATGGTGTAAAGATGTGAAGTACTGCCAACAAAAAGTAGGACTAACTGTAACCAATCATTTATATTAGATGAAAATGCAAAATAATCTTTAATAACATCATTAGAATGAAATTATAACAATTACTCTGTATTATGATATAAAAATAAGTAATTAATTCTGCCATATTTGTTACTTCTAATTATTTTAAAACTGCTTAAGTTTTTCCAATATAGTCAATAATCTAAACTAACTTATCAACACACAGGCTCACTTATATATATAAAAATAAGAGTTAAATGTTATTTATAATTAGCAAAATATTTATACAATAGTTTATGAAACAATATTGGTAATAGATTGTGAAACATTGTTGTTTTATCATGAAAAGTCAACAAACAATAAGCATTATTTTATAATCATAGTAAATATTGTCTGAGTGCGATATCTATTGTCATATTGAGATGCAGCTAACGTTGATTTTGCCAGCATCCATGCCTCCTTAATGAAAAAAAAAATGGTAAGTTTCTTACACATAGAATAGAATTCTCCAAAGAAGAAATAACAAAACAATTTTTGCATCTAAAAGAAAAACATTATGTATATTATTGATTATATGTTATCATGTTTGGTAGATTTTTCTATCTAGTGATTGACGACCTAACCCTAACTTGAAAACAAACTTGCAATTCCTATAGACGCTACGACTACGACGCTTTATTAAGTTCCTCGACCTTTCATGCAGATGCAAGATAATAAATACAACACATATTAATCGTGTGTAATATAAAATGACATGAAGAAAAGCTTTCTACTCGTGTGAATTCAAGTAAAAAGTAAAAGCAACAAACAACAAAACAAAACGTAAAAGTTTGCAACTCTTTCATAACACAGAATGTGTTATGAAAACTTTTGCGTTTATAATATTACTATAACAATTATAACACCATGTATTTATTACTTAGGGACATCACATTGTACCAATGCCAACAAACAAATCTATATCGCGTCCCTTCAAATCACAGTCGAGCGTGAAGCTCGCTAAATCCCAACCAAAGTTTTGTGATATATTATGTAATCCAGTGAGGCGGTATGTGTACGTTAATTTTACGAATCTGTCTCATCGGCACGTATTTTTATGTCAGCATACAGGTACATATTAATTATTTTTTTATTTATTTAAATAAAATGATGTATGAATATGTTAAATTACTTTACATTATTCGATTTCAAAATCTAAATATCTTATTGTATTTCAGGACTGTATGGAAGAAATTTCTAATAATAATACCATAAGTGTATTATGGCATCAAACTCCACCAGCGACTAATGTCCAATCGAATCCACTATGTTACTATAACGAAAACTTGATAACAAGGAATTGTTCCGATTCAAATTGGATACCTCCTCTTGAAAAATTAAGAGCATGTTCCAAAGTCGTTGAATACTTTGAGGACTCGGCTTGTCCGCCTGGTTTCCATAAATTTTCGTTATCCGACAACGAGAACTGTTATAGAATACATCCACCTTCCATATGGGATTATCCTTGTTTCAAAAGTGGCGGCGCGTCGGTTATTACAGACTTAGAGATCGAACAAGCTGAATTGTTATTCGAATCTTTAAATACAACGCACACCTCCAAACGTTTCTGGTTACCGGCACAACGAACAAAATCTTTTCACCCCATAGTATGGTATATACCAGGATTTTACTGGGGACGTTCCGTGAACTCCAACAGCAATATACCAATGAAATCACAAATAAATGGCAATTGTTTATTATTAGATATTGAGAGAAAAGTAATCACTACCGAAAAATGTAATAAGGAATATCCTAGTTTATGCTTCTACATAAATGATTTGCACTATCCAGCAACATGCCCTGATGGATATCATGCCTTTAGATTTATGCCAGATGATGGACTATGTTTTGGCATAGAAAAGTCTGAACATGGAACCAGTTCTACTTTATCTGATTTTTTAAAGACGCAATGCGATAAACCTATGGGGCGTACGGAAAATGGTGACCTACAAAAGTTTATTTTTATGAAAATTGCAGAACAAAGCGAACTATCTAATAATAGTTGGTGCTGGTTTGGTTCTAATGATTATGAAATAAGTTATTCAGAATCCAATGGAACAAATATTCTAGAAACTGACTTGAAACCTTTTGATAGTGTAATAAATAAACAAGGTGCTCTGAGTTTAATGAGTACAGAAGCATCTTTATCTTGTATGGCATGTGAGAAGGAAATTATTTACAAAGGAATGAATACGGAATTTGCAATTGAATATGATGACAATGATGAAAGGATTTATTTAACCGTATATTTTCCTTCAGGTTTATGGAAGTACGAAAATGATGACTTAGGCATTCAGTGTTTTTCAGACGCAAAAGGATTTGTTAAAGTGATTAGTGTAGACGTATCTCCTATAATTGATATTGAAGCAATAAAATCAAAATTTTCTGAATCGGTCATTGTAGAAAAATCTGTATATGTTATAGATCTTGTAACGGATATGCCGGCTCAATATTGGTGTGAAGGACATACTCAGAATTTTTCTTTGATATCAACAGAGAAAATCATTGTTAATCCAAGAGGAAATAAGATACATGTATTTTCACTTATAATTAAATTTTGTTTTTATGCAAACGAAAACACTACTGTGTTAGATATATTGAAAGTAACCGAAAATCTCACAGCCATTTTTGAGGCCGAAAAAATATTGCTAATGGATGTTTCTGACTCTGATTCAAATGAAGTGACGTTAATAACTCACTTGCACGTTGCTGTGAATGATACACATTCTGATACCGGACAAAATTTGCAAGAAACTTACATATTTTTAAAGAATGTATGTGAAACCGAACTTCCAAAACATAATTTTACATTTGTTAGCTTATCTAGTTCTTTATATTGTCTGCCAATTACTTCCATAGATTTTATAATATTAGATTGGGAATTAACTCCAATTGGCCACATAATAGCACCAAGGCAATTCTGTCTACAATCAAATGGTTTGCCAGTAAAAAGACGATGTTATGGGTCCTACCTTCATGGTAGTATCTGGGGCCAAGTTGAAGGAACTTGTGATATAAACTATGAACCCTCAGAAAAAACAACGTTTCTTTACAATTTTGCGAAAGGTCAAGTTTCAGAAAATACTACCTCTAGTTTTCTTGTCGATGGACTCAACTTTGTTCTTGATGACACTGATTTAATCATTCCTGCTGATATATATTATTTAGCAATATCCTTACAATTTATTTTAAGCGTTGCTCAAGAGAATCAAAATGCAGTAGATATGGGAGATATTGAGAATATAGCCTGGGTTATGGACAGAGTTATGGATTTAGATACTAGATATTTGTATTTAGCTCAAACACTAAATTCAACTAATATAATACTTGATTCAATTAATAATATAATTGATATTCTAGTTCAGAAAAATATTAGTTCTATCACATATGACCGTTCTTTGAAAAACCATGGTTATGAGATAGCAATTAAACCTCAATTTGTCGTTCAAATATCTTATCCAAAATATAATAATATAAGTGGAATTGCTTTAATTAAAGGAGGGGATTCTGATAAATTTACCGATATGATCGTGCAACCGCTATATAGAAATACAACTATTGATGACGTATTCTTAATAAAAAATCTGGAAATTGCGGCATGGTTACCTGAAAATGTTTTAAATAATTTAATAACTAATGAAAATGGTACAGACTGTATTGAAGCAGACTATTTCCATATAGTAATAAGTATATATCATAATGATGCCATGTTTCAGGAGCATAACGTAAATAAGTCCACTGTTATTAGTCGTATTATCGAGATATCAGTACCCAACCTCAACTCTAATCTGGAATATTCCGTACCACTTATATTTAATCAAGTAAATGCTACAAACTTTTCTCGGTTTTGTGGATATTGGGATTTTCAAACCCATAAAATTGGTAGTATCCCAGGGCAATGGTCAAAACGAGGATGTTATTTGATGAAAACTGTGCACAATTTGAGTTTGTGTGAATGTTATCATTTAACACATTTTGGTCAGTTAATTAACATACAAGACAATTATTCATACGATAAGAACGATGTTGATCATACAAAAGTTTTGAACATAATAACACTAACTGGTAGTTTTCTTTCTTTGATTGGAATAATTGGTATATGGGTAACAGCTTTGGTATTCGACGTTTGGAGAAAAAAAGCTGGTACCAAAGTACTTCTTCAACTCTCAACTTCTATAGCTCTACCTTTAATACTAATGCTAGTGTTTAATTTAAATCAAAAAATATTTGTAAAAAGTGAAGGTAAATACGTAGTAAATAATAACATGACAATAGTGTGTATTGCTTTAGGTGCATTGTTACATTATTCTATTCTAGCAAACTTCGTTTGGATGCTGATTACAGCAACTTTACAGTTTATTCGTTATGTTAGAGTTCTCGGAGTAAGTAGACCATCCAGATTTATGATTAAATTTATGATTATAGGATGGGGTACACCAATTATTCCAGTTTTTGTCATTTTATGGGCTGATTATGAGAACTATATACCTAATCCATCAATAGGACGCCCTATATGTTATCCTAAGGGATTTTATTTCATTGTCTCAGTCGTGTTACCTATTAGCCTCATACTCTTAATTAATGTAATTCTATTTCTTTTGGTTATAAAATCTATTTCTCAAAGTTCTGATATGAGAACAACAGATAGAAGTTTAGTATTCGCCCAGTTAAGATTGTCGATATTTCTGTTCTTTTTATTGGGACTCACTTGGATTTTTGGCATAATTTCTTTTACAGGAAATTTTCTATGGTCTTATCTTTTCTGTCTAACAGCTACAGTGCAGGGTTTTGTATTATTTATTTACTTTGTTATTTGTGATCCATCTACTAGAAATTTATGGGTCATGGTTTTCAAACCACCGTTTTCTAGTACCTCATCAAGGAAGAGCATTATGAGCTTAAATAGCGAACAATAATAGGTACTATTGACAATATAGTTTGTTATATGTTTTATGTAAGAATGTAGGCGCATAGGATAAAATAAAAGTAACATAAATATTTTTTATTATAATGGATATTGTAAAAGTATAATCAAATGAAAGAAAGTATTTTATTAAAATACATATGCTTATAATAGATAGACATTATAAACTTTATTTTATTTAATATTGATCATGAGCAAATAATAAAAAATATATATTAATTAAATAAAAAAGTTTCATCGTTCTAGCTTCAAAAATGAAATTTCCATACATAATTCCATCAATTCAATCAACAGCCAAAAACTAAGTTTCAAACTACTATCTTTAAAATGAAGATACTTCCATACATACCATACATACATTACATCTCCCCTTTCAACCCCTTATAACCCTTTTTCTTGTTTTTTTTTTGCTACTTATAAAAAACATCAATGATAAGATGTCGCTATACTGTAACCATTTATGGCTTCTGTGTATATATATATGTATATGTTTAAAAAATGACAATAAATAAATATTTATATAACCCATTTTCGTTAATTTATATTACAAAAATAAGATTAATAAATAAAATATTTAAATACCCTTTTTTTTCATGATTCAGATCTAGACTTTAAATTTCATTTAAATCAGTTCAGAAGTTTTGGCTTTTAAGACAGACAGACAGAGTCACTTTCACTTTCATAATATTGTATTAAATAAACTGACCCAAAAAAGCGTAAGAAAAAAGCATAGTTTTTCAAATATGACGAATTTCCATAACAACTTTTATTGTATTTTAACAATGAATGGTGACAATGTGATATTTACAAATTTAAATGTCATATTTATTTATATTTAATAAACAGTTTAAACATCATCTTTTGAAAATTTCAGTTGGCCAATAACATAATAAAATTTTGTTAAATCAAAATAATAGATGTGATATTCTATAAACTACACTTGCGCGAACCATATCTCTGACTCTATTAGAATGGAGAAACATACCTGAATACCGATGGAATAGATGTTGTTTCTTCCAAGGAAATGTTGTTTATATCATTTTTAATATTATATGTTGTTTTATTCTTCAAAAATATTAATAATATACGCTCTTGTTGGTCATCAGTTATTTTATATTTATTATTTATAAAATAAAATTACGTTTATTCATAATTTGTGGTGACATATAGTAATTGTATAAAAACATATATGTTTAATATGACATAATAATAGATATTTTTGTGATTTTGAAAATACTTAATGACACAATTATAAAGTAGACTTTCCAAAATATCTAATTTTTTTCATTATTATAATAAGTGTGTATTCATAATACCATTGAACTTTTTTATTAAAAAGGTTTTATTGGAGTTCTAGACTAAGCATGCAAATTTCATTTAAATCAGTTCAGTAGTTTTTGAAAGCGAGACAGACAGACAGACAGACAGACAGACAGACAGAACTGATTTATAATATTAGTAAGGATTGATGATGCTAATTCTTTTTAAATAGCGTAAGCGTTTCTTGATTAGACTGCATTTCTGTGATATATATATGTATATGGTGTATTGAAACATAATAAATAAATGGAAATATTTACATGATTCGGGTTATCGATGGCCAAACCTCATTGTATAATGGCATAGTTTTTCAAGCCAGTTTGTAAACAATTGTACTTACTTGAATTGTTTGCATCATCATTTCCATTGTCATGTATTGTATAAACTACACGTACTTATTAGAAACATAGATAGACATATAGACCTTATATCTAGTACTTAACTATAGCTTTGGCTGTTGTAATTTATGTTATTAGTTAATAATTTGTGGTTATATAAATTGTAAAAAATAAAGGTTTAATATGAAATATAGAATTTTTGTGATTTGTATAGCTACTATATTGCCCTTCGGTAAGTATGTACATTTCTTTTATATTAATATTCATATCATTGAACATTTTTATGGTTTTATTGGAGTTCTAAAAGCATGCCAGAACGTTTCCATAAACATGAAACTGATCTATACAATTTCTTTGATTGAATTACTAGTATATAAAATATGAGGCCATACTTTTATATTTTACTAATAAATAATTCTAAAAGTTGTTCTTTTTTTAAATATTAGGTAGATAATTGTGAATGAATAATATAAATAACCCTGTGATATATATGGAAGTTGGCTTAAAAAAAGTGTAGGTAATATCCGCTTTTTTATTGGGGGGTTTTACTGTCAGGTGCTTAGACCCATAACACTGCGACCGGCTTAGTGACAGATAAGTCTGAGAAACAGGTTTAGATCTAGACATTACATAAATTAACAGACATTCAAAAATTAAACTAAACTTATTTTATAATAAACAGATTCTTACTTATTTTATAATATCTAGACAGGTATTTCCAATGATAAACGAAGTACCAAAATTGTTTTAATCATCATATCAATTTTTTCAAGAACCATGCATGTATAGATATTTATTAAATATTTAGTTGCGGTATTTATGAAACTAACGTTAAATGAAAACAAAAATATAGTTGTTAGGCAGTCTTATATCAGTCAAGAAAATAATATATACCTTATTTAGTATTGTCAAGATAGAGTCTTACAATTTTTTGTACTTTACGAACATTATATGTCATCTTTATGTCCTAAGTGATAAAATGCAGTCCGTGGCGAGCTGTGCCCGCGAATCAAGCTATGTATGCCCACAGAAGTGCTAGAGCAGGACTACAAACTGATGGTGATGAAAATCTGCCGAGAAGTAAGTAAAGTAATAGATACCTATATACATTGCTCTTATATTGGGCGGCCTGATTGTACACGGTAACCGTTGCCTATATAGGCACATGAATAGCACTACGGACATCAAGTTATCATGTGTGATACTAATGATGCGTTTCCATACCAGAGTACTGAAATGTAAACCAACAACCGAAATAGAGCTTACAAAGATAACTGCTTGGCGGCTGAAGTAGTTGAGACTGAATACCTACGCAGACAACTGTTCACAATCTATCTATGATATGTACTATATATTAATAAAAAATATGTTATAATATTGCATTTCTTTCAGTCTTTCTCCATTCAATATACAAATTTGGTTGGTGTAGACCAGATTCAATAGCACCACAATTTTTGAGAAAAGCCATCAACATATCGCTGCCCACGTGGCAATCAACACAAGCTAATTACATTTATGTAAGTGAAAAGTGAGGAATTCATTACCATAAAAAAATCTAATAATCGTAATATTAATGCAAATTATTAAATTATATTTTGCATTAATATTATAAGGATGCAGTTCTATTGTCTCTACAGTTAAATGTGATATCTTGGTATCATACAACACCGTTGGTTATGAATCTTAAAAGAAACTAGATGTTACCAAATATAACTCTTATTTCAACCCTTTTAAATTATTTGTAAATATACAATATAGCCTATGGCTGTTCTTATAATACGATCTTTCTTCATGTCAAATTTTGTTCATTTTTAGTTAAGTCGTTTGATCGAGTAGTAGTATGTAGCAACCAGACAGACAGAAAGACTCATTGAAAACATTAGTATTCGAGTTGTTATTTACTGATAGTTCTTATTTGTATTTCTATAAGTTAATTTTGTAGTTTCAAGTAACAATAAAAATAAATACATATTAATTGCTTACATTGCTCAGATTGAACTTTGAAATTGACTTTAGAAATTGTGTTTGTGTGTGATCAAATAAAGAAACCAATTTTATACATAAATGACGCATAGAAACGTGCCAGTGTCACTATTCATGTATTGTTTTATATTATTTATAAATTTCAGCTAATAGAGAATAAAAACACACAAAGATTTCACTTGCAATGCATCGTAATGAAATTCTACGTGCCCAGGAAATACTTGTTTCGACGTGGCCGTATTCCTATGTATTATTGCCAAGGACATGCAATGGTAATGATATTCAACAACGTCAATAAATTGGAGATCCACGAATTTTTCATACACTCCAAACTAAACATGCCTGCTAATTTAGCTTTCGAATTCTTCCATCCAACGCCATTATAAGACGCTAATTTGGGCGAGGATTTATTGGTATGCCAAGATTTAAAAGGTCATAGCCGAAATCAAATTGTATCTTTAAAACGAAAATGTTCAATTTAAGTATTAAATGTACCTAAATAAATATTCATTGTTTTATCTGGCCACATTATCGTAATCAACATAATATGCTATAAAAGTAAAGAGAGAGATAAAAAAAAGGAATAACCATGTGTTATGATGTCGTTTACTACCCTCACATAACTCCCAATGCTTGTCAATTTATATCTCGTTAGTTTATGAAAAAAAAAGACTCTTGTAGAGAACAGAACACCAATAATAAACTAAAATCATTCCGTGAAATAGCAGTAGGCTGGACCCGTATAAGAACAAATATGATTACATATAACTAAAATAAATAACACAGAATAGATCCAGCGAAATGTTGCATTTAGCCCTATCAACTATCCCATCTGGAATAGCAATCGTGAAAGAATCTTGTTTACATTAAGTATGTGTTAAAAAGTAGATATGATTATTGGCATTATAGCGTATGATAGGCATTTATTGTTTAGAAACAGTTATCCTCATTACGAGTTATTGATACAAGAAATACAACAAAGTACAACAAAGAAACAATACAAGAAATGCTTCATTTCATCTTCATTCTACAAGCATTAAACATCTTTTACTTGTTGTGTTCAAAAAACTTTTAAGACACAGTGTTTTCTCTTTTTTAATCCAAGATGGACGTTTTATTTTTTCTTTTAATATTTACATCGCGTTTGTATACTCAAATATTATATCGTTAATATCATTGTAAAATATGTAATAAACAAGCAATAAACGTAGATATTTAAAATATATTATTATTTATTCTAATGTAGCTTTCATATATTGCGATCTCAACTTGGAATGTTTGATATGATTTAATTTACAGAAAAAATGCTTTTATTTATTTATATTTATAAGTTTTTACATACGTAATTAAAAGAAACCTAATATAAGTATATTTATAACTTATGACATTTGTCTCGTCGTTTTTAATGAAATATCATTCTCATTTCATATTCCGTTCCTGCGAATAGTTATTAACAATTCTGCAACAATTTTACGCGATTTTGCTACTTGTCACGACGATTTCACACTAAAACCCGCTGATGGCATTTTGAAGGACCACACTTTCACCTGGTTGGGGTTTGTTCAATACATGCATGGTTAGTATATTTAGTAGTATTAAATAGGTAAATATATTTGTAGTATACTTTTGAAATACGTATATAAATTTACTATGATATCGTAGTTACAACAGGATTACCACACCACAGTAAAGCTCCGAGAGTCGTTCTCGTTCAGAAGCAATTCGTTATAGGGACCGCTACGGACCTATTGCATTTACCAAAAAATTATAAACTGTAAGTAATGACAAGATCAACTATTAGTTTCTTTCATGAATCAGTTAAGAATATGTACTCAAATATATTTCTTAGAGACTTATGAAACAGACAGTATATAAATAAATAGTTATGTATCCATTACATGTTTGCAATCTCAATATTTACGAGTACAATACTGTTATGATCTGCGAACGGCATAGCTTAGGTCTTTACCAGTCCAATTTACACCAAAAGGTGGTGTTCATATTTGACCGGAACTAAAATAATTTGGGTATCAATTTATATTACTGTATAACTATACACCGGTGAGAGAAAAATAGTCAATATAACAAAAATGAAATCCAGAGCCTACTGTAGACTCGCCTCTTGTCATGTCGGATTCTAATGTACCTAGCTTTTAGATTTGGTAATTGATAAAAGATTGTTTTACAGTGGTAGCATCATATTTGGTGATTACGAACGTGATGAAGAAGATTGCGGCCTTTCAATGCAGCAGACAAAACTGGGTATACAGTGTCCTCGTGCTTATATTGAAATGCCACTGCTAGAAATCACTCCTCATCCAGAGTTCTCCAGGTAATTAATTAATACATTATGTCGTTTACAAACTTTCAATTGTCAAAATCGATTTTAATAGTTATTGCTTAATTTTCGTACTTAATACACATTATTTACAAAGTTAGTTGGGTCTTAACATGAATACATTTATGGTAAATAAAGGTTACCTCTCTATCTTTCATTGAACAAACTAATGACGATATTAGGTAATAAATTCAAAAGTGTTTATCTCTCTTGACGTTTTATAAATAATTATATGCCAAATAAAATTTTTTCATAAAAATATTTATATTAAGACCTGATTAACTACATTAATAATTAGATTTTCTTTTTATGTAATATTGAAAACTATATAAATTAATTTTTAAGATGTTGGGCGGTAATGTTAGAAAAAAATTATATAAAAATTTGTACGTATGTAGAACGAATACATACATATTTCGAAGAAAAACTTTCTGCTAATTTAATTTACAAGTAATTATTTATTACGGCTAAGTATTTATTTGTTGGTTATTTTCAGATTTGGTGTAGGCAATAGTTTAGCATTGGTAAAACTTCTGCGTCCAATGAAATCATGTAAATATGACAATATTATTGTGAAATGAATAATTAAATAAGACAATTCATTAAAATTATCTCAATACAATTTCCAGATTACATGATACCAATTTGTTTGCCTTCTTTAACAGAAAGGCAAAGGCAACGAAAAAACAAAATTGTTTTTATGGTTGACTACATAAGCAGTAAGTGAACTCGTGCATATGATTTAACATTCATTAAATTTCTTCTTTTTGTAGTGAATAAAGGAAAATATTTCTAATTTTGATACAATTTTGAGATGCAAAAATAATCGTTTACTAAAATCGTCATAATCGCTAATAAATGCATAATATGTATTTAAAATATACAAACAAATACATCCTAATTTAATATTTTTCGCAAATATTATTTTAATTGTTACAGCTGTACCAAGAGATTTTGATTCGGAGAAAATGGGCAAAAAAACATTAAAAATGTATACTCACAAGGACTGCAAAAGACATCGAATGAAGACAGTAAGTTATTATTATAATTTCACCGACTACTATTACTAAATAAATATCAACACATTTATTATGAATCGTAATTCTTTAAGTTGTCCAATATATATATTTATAGCAGTAAAGTTATTTTAAAAAGTGTTTCATTGAAAATAACGCTATATGTGAATGCAGCCTAATATGTATAAAATTCCGAATTTGTTAAAACATCTCATTCTAAACTAATACCGAAATATACGTGTGAAATAATTATAAATAAGTTCTTAGTTGAAACTAGGTCACGGTTAGTTACAACAATTAGATAAAAACACAATGAAGCATTGTCATTTTATTGTACGTATGCGAAGCATGAAGAATGATTAAATAAAATAGAAATTAATTAGATTTATTTTAGCGGGACTCTCGTCTCTTATATAAGCACATGAATGAAGCACTACGGATATCATGTCATATTAGATATCGTTGGTACCACTCCAAGAGACTAAGAAGTCATGCCTCGTAGTTAATTTCACTGCCTGCATACTATAACTGAAACACATTACTGATACAGCGCTTACAAAACATGCTACTTATCAGCCGTAGGTGAGACTGAAATATCCGCGCAGATGACTTTTTAATAATTTTGTAAATCTGCCTAATATATGTAATAGTATTATCTAAATACAGCTTACAAAGTAAACTATCAGGCGGCTGAATATACACAACATATTACAATCTCCCTCTGGTAAGATAATTAATAATAATAGTTCTTATTTATACTAGAAAAGACGAGCAGTTAATGAAAAAATATTTATCAAATCAAATAATATATTTACAATACAGGCCTTACAGATTTAACAATATTACACATTATGTCCAATATATTCAGTCTGGATACAAGCGAGAAAATTCTTATACATTATTATATTTACATTGTTCTAATACTCTATCAATAATGAAATATTTATTTTATAGAGGTTAGGCAGCGAAGGTGTCACGCACGTACTGTGCAGTTCCGGCTGCGGGGTCCGTCCGGGGGCTCCTATCGTGAGCCAAACTGTTGACGGGGCCTTTGAATTGATTGGCATTGCCGCTGGTGGTGGTGCCTGCTCCCGAAGATCTATGCGACGGCGCCTCAATAGAGAACCTCCACTGTACATCGATGTATACCCATACTCCACATGGATAATCAATGTTATCACGGCTCATCAATTACCGCAACCATATCCACATAACTTTATGTTGCTAGAGGGAGGATCTAGTAAGTATTATCATTTATTGAACACCTACGTTATTTTCAATTTTAAAGTATAAACGTAGATCATAGAGTTCATAGCTCAACTACGTGTGCAACTACGAAGTAATAGTTATTACTACGTAGTAATAGAAAACAATAACGAAATAATATATAGACATAATTAATGTGAAACAAACTTAAAGCATAGAATCCATCCTGCGCCTTTCTATAGTGGCAGTGGCTAACTTAAAAAATACATGACCGATTTCAATTTCCTGCACTTATAGATAACAAAATTATCAACGAGTACCAAAGAGAGTTTTATTGCAACATAAAGAAATCTATAGCGGACTTTTTAATATTGCTAACAATTATTTTCTCAGGTGTTAGTGTCCAAAAAGGCAATTTCTTAAGAAAAAGAAAAGTCCAAAAACAAGGGTGGCGTGCTCGCACATACGTATCGGGTAACACCTGTTATAAGAGCCTGAAAAAACAACGTCTTGCTTCATTTTTCTATTCAGAGAAATTTGAAGTAAACGCTGATCCGCCTGCTAAAATGAACGTAATTATTAAGGTAAAGATGTATCATATAAATATTTTTTGTTAAGAAACTTCGTTTTAAAAGGTCGAGTCCTATTTCTTTTTTTCGTATTGTTTGTCTGTACCTTAAATAGAATACTTTGATGAAATAAACTTTTTCAACACTATTTTGTGATTTGATACGATTTAGAATGCAAAAATAGTTGAAATACTTAACTTAGTATTATAGATTTCACTCTCGTTATCGGATAAAGGGATCGATTCTTGAAGTATCATAATAAAAATTGTTTCTGCAAAACGTCATTTGGCTAGTGTTAACTGGACTCGTTTTATATATGAAAATAGTATACTAAGTTATGAAATGGAATGTAAGTTATGAAATATATAAATACGAGTATTTATTATGACTATTTTCAGATATCCGCAGGAATAGAGTGTACAATTGTTTGTGCTCGATTGATGATGCCAAATCGTCTCACAACTCCGTTAATAGAGGGTGTCGGCGGGTACAATATTACTATTTCATTCTACACTGAATGGTTTCCCTACAGGTTTTATTTTTCCGTAGGCCTCACTGGCAAAAATACAACGGAAAGAGACAAATTGAATTGGCTCGGAGAACGTAAGGCAGGTTTCTGGTGATGAATTGATAGAAACATAGTTCTACTATTACTGCATGAATAAATCAAATTAAACATACTAAGAAGTCCTATTATCTGTAATAATATTCATTTTGTATATATTGAATGATTACATAGTGGAAGATTTTGTACCTGCACATAAACAAAATTATGTGAATACTTCTGGAAGACCATTAAAGACAATGTTAAACCAAAACTATTACATCATTATATTAGCCTTCTGGCATCCTTTCTTCACTACATATGTGTATAGTATAGATCTCGCTTATGGGCAATTATTTTAATTCCTTTGTAACTTCAAAAGCTAAACATTTTATGTTCTCATTTCACGAAATGTACAATATTTTAACGATATGTTATTTGTAATATATGATACATGTGTAATATTTACAGAAAAAGTGCCTTCAATGTCTAATATTTGATAATAATAGCATATTTGTCTTAAATGTATAGGTATCATATATGTATATGTACGTAGATTTTTTTTATACGTAGACAGCTTATTAGTATTAAAAATTATAAAGATATCCGGGAAGTGTACAATGTAGATTTCTTTAATTGGTTCATAAGATTTCACAAATTAATTTTTCTACATACATATGAATTTAAAGTAGACATAATTCATATTTTATAACACCTTTATTGTATGCAATACGATTTACAAAATTATCAAGAGGAACATATTTAAGGATACTAATATAAAATTAATTTAATTGTATTTGTAATTATTACTACGCAGACTCTACCGATATTGTGTCTTCATCATTCAAACCCTGATCGTTGCTATCAGCCGAAGGAAAATTCGTTGGCGGTGACTGAGAAGGGGGTTGTGAAAAAATAGGATTAACAGGGACGGTTGGAGCAGTTCCTTGAGGGTTTTGAGGTGTGTCAGGGACTTGTGGGAAAGTTTGCTGAGAATCGCTGCTAGTTTGATCAGAACCCGGTGGTGCCAGCGGGTAAGTAGCAGAACCTCCAATGCCTTGAGGAGCTCCTGGAAATAGTTGCGCACCACCTGGCAGTAAAGGTATTTGGGGAAAACTAGGGAACGTACTCGGTGGCGGTAGCTGAGGACTTGTAGGCCTATCTTCTGCTGGTTGTATTTCCGTCTGTTGTTTTTCTGGCGGGAATTCAGCAGAATCGACCACTGTTGTATCTGAATCTACATCTTGTTGTCCAGTAGGGTAACTGGGATAATCAGCCACTGGCTGTGTTGGTATGCTGGGAGGTGCGATTGGCGATATTGGTGCAATGGGTGCAGATGGAGGGTATAAGATGCTGCCTGGAGGATAAAATGGACCTCCTGCTGGGAATATGGGGCTACTGCCGGGGAAGTACGATCCTCCTCCAGGGAAAAATGAACTGCCATCCGAGTATATTGGTGCACCTCCTGGATAGAGACCAGCACTATCTAGAGGGAAGAACGTCTGTTGGAATGGATTAAAGGGATTTATTTGAGGTTGGAATGCAAATTGTGTCTGAAATCCTGGATAACCGGAAATGGGTATCTGCAAATAAAAAGATAAACTTAATATAGAATCAGTAATAAATGAATATAATAATATTACTACTATTATATTACAAATGGTGGTGTCAAAATTTTCTATGATAGTTGCGTTGTACCCGAATGACTTCAACTTGATATATGTTACACATCGAACTACACAATAATTTATTTATAAATTTTATTATTGGATATAATTATATACAAATTTATTGTTTTGATCTATTTATAATATGCAGATATTCTCCATCGTTTGTGTTTGTCATATGACTTTATTAAATAATATAATATATGTTTTTGTTGCATTTTATTTTTTATAGAAGTAGTAAGTAAATACATACTTTCCAAGAATATTTAATGTGACTCGTTTATTATGCATTAAAGTTACATTAAGTGGAAAAATATATTTAAATATGCGCAGATAAGACATAAAGGTTGTATAAATTTATTAGAATGAGATTTTTATTCGCGAAGCAAAAAGTAATGAGGTGAGATCTTTGTCTCTAAATCTTTATAGTGATAAAATCATAGAATGTAACACTCAATAAATATACCTAAAACAAGCTTTAACTCGCATAACTTATAGAATAAATTCTCCCCAAATAACAAAGGTACCCACCAATCTAATGAATTGGGTACTTTTCTTGAATTTATCCATCTATATCTGGAATGTGATGTAGCACAATGTACCAAAATTCATTCAACTCGATACAGCAATATGCGTAAACGAGTAACAAACATCATCATTCCAAGTTCCAAGTATTTTGCAAGATTGAACCTTACAAGCTTTAACTTTTATATATTAATAGGTTAATAACATACAGCGTTAATGAACTGCCTCGTCGAGAATGCGGAGATCTTTGTTTTTGCTGGTATTAATCTTGTCACAAGTTGTCGGCCCGAAGTGGCCCTCGTGACAGTTTGTTGTGAAGTTGCCTTGCTACCATCGGACCAGGCCGACCCTCCCGCAGCTTTGCCAGCCACAGCACAGACCAGCCACACCACCAATACCTACATACAAAACAAATAAGAGCAAGAGATTTGAATAAATTTACATATATTCTAATAAAACTTGAAATCTCTTCATCAATCCTCGGTTTCTAAAATAGCTTTTCACTTTTATATGCAATAATAGATCTGTCTATGACGCTTATCTATTGGCGATGTTAAAAAACAAGTCTTTATGTTATAATATATATGTATTATATAATATATATATATATATATACAGATATCATTCTTTTAAAAACTTTGTAATATATATTTCGGACTATTCGCACTGTGAAAAATATCTTTAGAGTTATTTTAGATTAATATGTACTAACGTAGGTATATATTTCATTGCTCTATATGTCTATTATGAGAGGACAAGGAATACTAATATGTTAAATTACATTTATAATGTTTTTAATCTAAAATTAACATACATTTTCGAAAGCAGATACAGGAATTTATTGAAACTACAGTATAACATAATGTTCAGTATTGCAAATTGTCAGTAGTAGTAGAAATAGTAGGTTTCCATTTATTTTTCAAACAAAACATTACTTTGACACATATCTCGTGAGCTTCGTAGTTTAATAAGCTTCTAGTCACAAAAAAGCGCACCACAAAGATACTTAGTAGTAATGTTAAGCCTACATTTTATCAATGTTACATATATTTCAATGAATTTTTATAATGTGCAACTTTGTATTATTTAAATTTATTAAAACTAAAAATTTAACTACATCAATAAATGGACAGTAGGAAATCTGAAATGATCTTCTATTGTTTCACTTTAATTAGTAGGTAGATAAATTAATAGCCATTTGTCAATAATCCATTGTTTTCATGATAGCCAGTAGTAACTTCCAAATCACTAATAAAAACACGTGTTTATACACAAAACCGTATTAATTCGATTCCGTAAACACACTCACAATGCTATAAGCAACGGTAACTATAAAAGATCACTGATCACGATTATCGATGACGTATGTTTCGATTAATTTACATAATTATAGGTGGCATGTATCGTACCTTCATTTCGGCACTGGGGACCCGATATGTTATAATACGCGCGAAGACCATGTGACGACTCTTATATACCAAAATGTACCGCCCACGACCGCAGAAAGAAAGTAACTAGATACGGCTCGGGCAAACTTGTACGCAATGTTACAATAGTCTTGTAATTACACAATACATATTTTACATATATTTTTGGAATATTACACTAAATCACACTATCTTTAAAAAGAAAACAAGTAATTAAAAGTTTATATCTTTTATTTATCTATTTATAATAAGTAACATATTTTTAACAAACTAATGTTTAACTTTAAAAATAATTATTAGATGATAATTATTTCATCCTTCTTAATTACATATTAACTATGACACTGTTAGCTCACTATCACAATGGACCTTTATTTTCATAAAAAAATAAATAAATCGTATCTTTAATATTTTAAATAATATCGTATCTTTGTAGATTGTAGCTTTTATATATCATATATGTACTTTTCACAATTTCTCACAGTCGTTAATTTTTATTTAGGTACATTATATTCTTGTATGTCATATTTAGTTATATTTGACATGAAGATACACATATTGTACGATGAATATAGATTGTATCACAAACACAGATATATTTCAAATAAAAAAACAGATAAAGTCTCGGGTTTGCCCTATTACGCTTCATTTACGCAAGAAGGGCCAAGTACAGATCTGTATCTACAGTACAGATACAAAAAATAATTGAACCAATCTAGTTATCTTTATCGAGGTTCTTCCATACCTACACGTTTATAGATAGGTACAATCATACACTTCAAGATCATTTAAAATGTTGCATTCTTATTTGGTCAATGCTCAATAAGTATTTTAGTACACATACCTCATGCTTTTTTATATTCGATAATTACAAGTCATAATCATTTATACATATTATAATATAGGCTTGTTTCACTACTATAATTGGTTTTAGTTATTTTAATGGCAACTTAACATATTATATATTGGCACTAAACCGGTCAGTAAATGTTTTACCCAATCCTTATTATTAAAATAAAAAATATTAAGGGTCACTTCTTGAGATTTAAATTATAATATCTTTTAAGTTAAACCAAATTACACACTTTTGAGTTAGGTGAGTCTGTCACGTAAAGAAAAATTATACGTAGTAACGAATTTTATATACGACTACGACGTCTTCCTATTCAGAAAAGCAGCGGGTAAAATTGTGTTTTCAAATTATCCAAGAACCCTTTGAATAATTCAACACATATAATTTATAAAAATCGATATAGCCGTTTACTATTTGAGTGACAGTAACACCTACAGATTAATTATATACACACATATATATTAGGATAATTATAATGTTTTCGGCGCAGTAAAAGATTGAATAAAAATTACATAAATGCAATAATTTATTGCACACGTATATCATTGCAAGGGTAATAAACACAAAGGACAGTGATCTTACGAATATTTTATAGCACTGTAATAATTATAACGAACTCAGTAGTTGTTGGTATTGAAAAAGTAACTTTATATACATAAGCACAAATATTATTGTATAAAAAATATTTTTAAAATAACAAACTATATGTATATGCGTCATCAAAATATCATGATTTGATTTGATTTTCCTCCAAATTATAATATTATTCAAAGCACCATATTGTATACATTCTATCATTATATAATAGTAATTACTGTTATATAATGATAGAAAAGTGCTCTGAACATAATGAAAAAATAATGAAATTATATTAATAATTTTTGACACCAAAATATTCGTTCATTTTGGATATAACTCCCATTCCCTATACCCTCATTACAATATTCCTATCTATATAATAATGTCACTAAGAATAATAGTAAATAATATAACAATCCTTAAACTTTTTTGGCTTTCTTTTGCCGTACTTCTCCTACTTCGGGGAAAAAAAACTCCATAACTTTGTCCTTGAAAAGGTAAACGATTGGTTTAGGTACTTCTGGATGAAATGGGTTTGTTCCACCCACATACACAGGAGCCCATATATTTTTCAACATTTGCAAAATTAAGCGCATCAATTTTATATGGGGCATTTTCGAGGCCTCTGTGAATTTACCTAAAATAAAATAGAAATTATTTAGAAGGCAGAGAATGAAAAACATATTTTTTAATTGCAAATAATAATTTATATGTATATTATTAGAATATGACTTAGATAGCGAATATATTCATATGTTAACAGTGAATCATTTAACTATTAATATCAAACTTTATATTTTATTTTAATAAAAACCTACAGTAGGTTTACAATATTTTGGTCTTTTCTGTTGAGGTATTAATAATCTTTCAAATAGACAAATGAATCTATACCTATAAAATGTTATACGTATTATAATCTATATATATCTATTGAAGTAAAGTTCTACAACTAGAAGGAAAATTTTCAATATACCGCCCGTTTGCCTTCTCACGCGTGTTCTTTTATTTTTCATAAACTCATTATGCGGGTAACTTAAATCGGTGCTTAACTGTCCTTCTCCGTAAATAAAGCCACTATTATCAGCAACATATTTTCTCATAAAGCTGCCAATGGTATTTATTGTCTAAACAAAAAAAACTAGTTTAGGTACATTCTCATGCATCACAACAAATTAAGGCTCGAGTTACTTTATCAGAATTTCAATATTTGCGTCAGAAAATAAAATCAAAACAACTTTAAGTATCAAGAGCAAGATTCCTTTCTGACAAACAATAATAAATAACAATATAAAGGCAACAAATGCAGAAAAACAAAAGCAGGATGACAAGTAAGTATATAAAATAAATTCCATTTTTGATTTTGATCTCGTTTCAAACAGCATATACGTACCGTCCCTGTGTTAAGAGGGACGGTATTTACCTACCTGCCTGCTAAAGGATGAGTTAATGAACTATGCATTTATAATATTTTGATTTCATCCCGTGATAATTATAGATAATAAAATTGGGTAGGTATAACAACGTAACATCTCGACGAAATTAAGTTCAATCCTTCATAGGCTTAATTGATGGTGAATTATGTTATAGTAGTCTTTATATACGTAAGTATAAGTATATAAAGACTACTATAAAATAATTATTTCCGTGTGTTTAGAAGTGCTAGTAAAATAAATATTTAATAAATTAACATAATCAAACACTAATCAAGTTACTTTATTTTCGTAATCTAATACGACAAAAGTGCATTTTTTATTAAACACATTTTTTTTATATTTGTCATACAAACATAAGCAATATATGTAAAATATTGAGATAGTGCGTAAAATCAATTGATTTTATAAAGTTTGTTATCTCGCTAAAATTGGTTCTACCGAACGAAGCTGCGAGGATCGTCGAGTATAGATGTTGTTTATTAAAAATATACCTGTAACCTCTAAGTGAACTCAAATCTTTGCGGAGGACCTTAAATTAAAAAAAAGAAACATACCTCTAAGTTCTTATAATCCAGGTCATTAGCAAAAACCCATCGTACATTGTGTACAAAACATAAAAAACAAATAAACTTATATATTTTTGGTATATAATACATATTGCATGTGAATAGTAGGAAAAACGATATTAAAATGAAAGCACTGTACTGTGTAGAATATTTTTTATAACGTAATAAAAACGTATGACTATTTACGCAAATAGTTTCCTAGCGTATCTACGTTTAGTACTGAACTATTTCCAAACACCTATTGTAGTTTACAATATTTCTATAGCAAATATTTACATATTTCGTTGATGAGATGCATTGATCTGCTCGTTAACAATGACTGCTATGCTTCTATGCAATTTACTTCCTAACAACGTAGTTATGTTCTAAAGACACTATACTACTAATACATAATAATGATTAATAATAAAATTCTATACCATCGAGATTATTATTCCAGATGAAAGAGTCAGAACATTCATATGTGCTGGGTACATTTGGGCAACGTAGTAGGTGATGAGACTCCCTCTTGTATTATTGATATCTATAGCAAAAAGTTAGAAATACAAATTTTAAACATAACTACCCGCAACTTCGTCATATATTTAGATAAAAAATAACCTCTATCTCCACGTGATACACACTATCTTCATACATCAATGCACACTTTAATATACAATATTTAATATAATTTTTAAGTCTAGAAATATATCATTCATATGAAACAAATTCCTACACCACTGTCCAAAACTATCAGGCTTACAGGTTTGTATTCCAAGATTAGTATCTCATATAGTGATACAAATATCATGATCTGTAGAAATGTCACTTGTGTGATATGAGTTGTGAGGGCGATTGCATGTAGGCTGTGGCAAATGTCATGTACAGATCAACAATTGTGATCTGGAGCAACCTCGTGAGTGGCCACAAGTCAACTCTTAAAAGTCAATGGTAATTTTTAACCTATAGCCAACAGTAATTTGTTAATACCATCGTACATATGGATAGATAATCAATAACTACGCATAATGTAATGCTTTTAAGTGATCTTAAGATATTTTTATCTCATTTAAACACGTGATTGAATATAATGCTAAATTAGGATTTGGTAAATATACATTTCCTAATCAAATGGTATTTTTAAATTTCATGCCGATTTAGTATTATTATAGCGCAAATTACTTAGCGTATAGATACTTCGTATAATTATTATTAACTAGATGACCTTTCCCAAATAAAGAAAAAATATTCAATAACCTAACCCAAAGATCCAACGAAAAAAGTTTCATCGTTCTACCTTTAAAAATGTCGACACATCCTTACAAACTTCATCTTTCCTTCCAACCCTTTACCATCCACTTTTCGCATTAAAATGTAATGTCCTTTCTCAGGTCTATCTGTGTACAGTAGTTTTGGCGTGAAAGTGAGACAGAGTTACTTTCGCATTTATAATATTAGTAAGGATTGTATTATTTCACAGTAAACCCAAGACTAAGAATTATATTTTTTATAAATACTGGCTCTATATTAAATTCTGTGGACAAACATTGACATTTGACAAACCGTCAAAAATTCTCAATCTGTTTCAAAAATATCTAAATACTATTTCAAACCCTTTCAAACTAAATCAGAAATCAAATGTATCAATTGTTACATTGAAGAAGACGTCTGTGATGTTAATGATACTCAAACTATTTTGTAATGAATGAGAAATGTCAGGTGAGAGAGCTAGATGTTTAGTTATTTTTTAATGGTCACGGAAATGTCAATTGATAAAACTTAGCATTGTTATTACCAATACATCTCCAACATTAATAATACTGATAGCTGAGAATAAGACAAGTTTTAAAGCTGGCGTTATAACCCACTACATATATTGTCGCTTAGTATCATCTCATATTTACTCGTCGTGTCTTTAGGTGATTGTTATATATCTTGTTAAGGCCACAATATGTGAAGCATCTTCATATTATATATATCTATTGGTGTACAGAACATAGTAAAACAAAAAATATATTTAAACTATATTTTTTTAGTTGAATAATATATATCTAAAACCAGCATTTCCTTTACGAGATGACATAACTTTACAAAACAAAAAAGTTTGTATATACATATTATTTTAATTTTAAAATAAGGCAACTTGCTATCATTTGAAACATACTTGTTTTGAACATAATTACGAACATTCACAGTTTTATACCAAACTTTTGAAATAAATATACAAGGTAACAGAGGATCTTTATTTGTTAAGGGTTAGGGAAAAAACATAAATACTAAAGTATGTGGATAGAAATCAATAGATACGCACATTTTATTTTACATAATGAATTCACCGTTCGTTGACCATTATAATTAAAACAAATAATATAGGTATTAGTCATTCTCATAACTTAATCATTAACTGTAGATATGATGTCTACAAAATGTCAAACTGGTTATTAATTTATTTATGAGTACTTTTACTAAGTCTTCACTAATATTATAAAGAGGAAATATATGTTTTTGTATGTTAAAATTAAAAATGAATACTACTGGACCAATTTCAAAAATTCTTTCACCATTATATTGTTACATTGTGTCTGAATAACGTAGGCTATATTTATTAGTAGAAAAAAATTGAGATCCAATCAAACATTTCAATATTGAAACCTAAGCTCCAAAAAAATTTGCCAATATCATTCGTTGTAGGTATGGGCCTCTAGCTAATATTTTTTTTTATTCTAAACTATCAGCTATAAATAGTATGTCTTTTACATTCTAACTTATCTTTACATAAAACTTGACTTTAATAATGTCTATATGCGCCTACTTTCTCTCTAATTAATAATCTTCACTTTTAAATTAGTAATATGCATTTGTTACAAATAAAAACCTACTATTTCGTTACAGCTACCGACTCTTCGGCACAAACACAAGAAATCAAAAAACCAAAACATAAATGTAAGTGTAAATAAATGTACTTAAGTATATTTAAAAAATATATTGTTCTTAACGGAGACAACTGAAAGTAAATAGGGATTTATTCAGAAGTGAATGAAATACTTAGTTTTAATCAACAATACTGGCAAATAAATTGCTGTTTATGTACATAAACAGCGCATTATCCATGCATCACCCGTGATACTAATTATGTCATTCCAGTCGAATGAGATTTCATGCCTATTATCCTGTAATTTCACTACATAATCGCACTCTACAAACGAAACACAGCTTCAAAGCAGTCTGCATGACGGCTGAAATCTCACAGAGGACAGTCTATCTCTGGTAAGTAGACAATGCATTGTACTGATTTCTTAAACACCAGACTTAACATAAACATAGACGTACAATAAATAAGTATAAATTTATCTGGTATTAAGTGGAAATTGATTTAAAAATAATTTGTATAAAAAATTATAGAAGCGCTTAGTAAATATTTACGTTCCCTACACAGCTCTATTTAATGCCGGCTTCCATAGGACTTTTATCAATGAATATTTAGGAGAAAAGATTTCCCGTGGCGGCGCGCCGCCCGCCCCGCACGTCGTCGATTTTCCTTTCAGTCAGTGTTGCCACCTTACTGGTTACACCACTAAAACTGGTAGATTCAACACACCCTTTGGTAGTCGATGGCTTTCTAGTGACTTTTTAGTGAATAAATATTCCGATTTTTTATACGTTATCCCGATAGGAAATTTTATATGTCCCTTATCAAAAAAAATGTAAAAATTGGTTTTGTAAACGCCTAGAAAATTATATTACTAATAATGAAACAAAACATTACTACATTTTCTAAATATAACAATTTTGATACTAAAATACTCTTTAAATCACTCAAGTGTTAGAATAATAAATTTACATAATAATGGTCATTGTATTTTTATTCCTATTTAATGAAACTCAATGATTTAACAAATTGAATTGGTTTGGTATGGTTGAATTAATTTTGCCACAATTTTTCAATATTATATTAAAACTTTTATAAAAGTATGTATAAAGACATGCCTTTATATGTAAAATTATAATTTGTTTGTTTCCCTAATGGTTTCATTAACATACGTTTAAAACTTTTCATGGTCTAGTGGCTTTTTATATTCTGCCTAATGGGGCTCTCCCAAACATTGTTGGCAACACTTCCTTTCAGCGCGTCGCGGGATTCAGTCGGGCTACGGACGCCGCCGGCGTTGTGCAGCGACTCGCTCGCACTTTACAAAACTGTTTACTCCAATACAACAATTCTATCAAGAAGGGGCCACACACAGCACTTACACACGTACGTCCAAACCGATCATTTTGTGTGACCATAAACATCTACTTTTATTCAAATGAATATCCATACACATAAATTCATTGGTGTCAATGTAAACACGTTGTTATGTTTTAGTCCACATTCTCAACAATGCTAATCTCATTATTTCCGCTATTCTATCGAAATAATTACCACAAAATAATTTTCAATATCACAATTCACGGTCAAATACTATTTTCTAAAGAACTCGGAATTAAACCTCATTCCATGGGTACTGTCAAATGACATTTATATACGAGTGTATATAAGTTTGTTTGTATACAAAACATTAAATCTTTATAGACAGTGCAATAAAACGAAATTTTAAATTGATCACACAAATTAGAAACAAAATAGAAAATAAGTATCTAATGATTGCCAAAATTTACAAAAATAATTCTTTAGTCGATGTTTTGTTTTTAGCTACTCGCCTGCATTGTATCTAGGTATTGTCCGATTTTGTGTAATCGTTTTCTCTTTATTTATGTGACGTTCGTATGTTTTGTTATTTAAAACTACGTTTCTGTCTCATATATCTCATTCAAATAGTTAAGACTGCTTCAATTACTAATGAATAAATAGAACATAACATTATCATTGACTACTTACACTAGATGTGTCTAGTTCTTGTACATCAATATTACTTATTATTATAGAAAATAATACATTATTATATTAAAAATAATAATAACTAAGTCGCAAACCAAGAAATCATTTTTAATAAAATGTGGAAAATTGTACACAAAAACAGACCTTTGGTGGTGCCAATGGGATAGCGAGGAGGTTGTGTGAGATTCTTATTATTTAAAAAACCTCATTGAGTACCTATGAGCCGCCGGTACCGGCATCACTTTAGCATCGCCATTCCGGCGTCCTCAAGATGTTTTAGGGCAGGACCTTACTCGTTTGTTAGGGCAACCTATTGCGCCAAACCAACAAATCTACTAGGATTTGTTAGAGTTTGGGGATATACTTTTAAAATAAGTCATAGAGAGTACGGGGACATCACACGTAAAACCTCAGTAAGGGCAACAGCGAAATCATCAGCGCCACATTCAGAACCTGATACGTGGTGCTGTTCATGTATGTAACACACATTTTTTACTACTTTCCATCAAGTAGACCATCAGATTTTCCCCATATGTAACTGATATAACAAAATAGACAATATACAGTAGGTACATTATATATAACAGGTATTTCATACAGATAAGGTAGGATTTATTAGTACTATTAGTATACCTATGCTGCTTTTCGTCATTGTTTGCCATTCTAATTACATAAAAAACTATGCCTAATAACATAATCGATTTAAAAACTGACTCTCAGTACTCTATCTTCGTTAAAACGGAACTGACTATGATATTTCTATTTATTAATGTTTCATACATGGTGCTTTTCATATAGTTATGTAGGCGACGACTACCACTTATCATCAGCTTATTTGCCATTTCAGTTACATAAAAAACCCTGTTTGCATATTATATCTGTTAGTTCTATAGCATCTGGTAACCCCACGTCCTCACGATTTTCGTGTGGGCGCAGCTACCTCTAAGCCTGCACCATAATCTACAAGTATTGTAATTGTACTGTGGATGATAAGCATTTGTTTTCTATATTTTTTATTAGTCTGTACCTCAGAAATTATTTCATAGCCGACAATTTTAGCCTTTAATTTCATTTTAGCCCAAAATTAATACGTTTATTGTAAGTTCGAATTATTATTAAATTATAATGTTATCACTAAAGGCAAACAAAAAATATTTAAATTTTTGCCGTAAATTGTCCGTCAGTTAAAAGTTACATCGCTCATTCGATCCCGACCTATCAGAAACGCAAACTCTGAGCAGCCGGACTGTAGTTCTATATATTTGATGATTTTTAAATATTAAATGTGTTAATGCAGCATATCGCATGGCGGACGACTCAGCAGCGGACTGTCTGTTCGAACGCCTCCGCCTGCATCAGCAGCGTGCACCTGACTCCACGGAGGTGGCGCGCGCCATTACAGCGCGTATTAACTCACGACTCACGTCACACGGTAAGGCAACCAAACTTTTAATTATAGGTATATATAGTATTTAGGTGTTTTGTCCTCGCTATCGATCACGATACTGGTCACGAACTGCACCTATAGAACTCTACGTAAATATACAGACAAAAAAAATAAGTAAAAAAGTGCATTATAAATACGGTCTTATCGCAATATGCAATATCTTGCATACAACATTTATTTCTTTAATAAACGTTAATGCACAAATATACATAGAACATACATGTATGACTACATATACATCAAACATGAATGACTTGATTGCCATGCGGAAAAATGTGCCATAATCACATGGCGGAAATTCAATAGACATTAAAAAATATTTTAAAACTGTACTCTATTTCAGTATTTACTCAGTTTAAATATGGTTCTTTCGCGTATCTCGTTGAGCCCCAAAGGCGATAACGACAACGCTTTGTAGTAATCTATGGTCGTAATACACCGAGCTATATACAGAGTTGAGTGGTGCTTATCTCTACTCGTATATATTTCAGGGAATTTTCAGGGAAAACAAATTCAAAACTCTGAATATTGATAGTAAATCTAGTAGGACTAGGTACCTATAGTGATTCTACCTACTTTATATAGCGATTATTTCGTAACATTGACGAAACGGCAAAACGTAATATCCAGTATACTCGTACATGGCGATATTAACACCAAAGGACATTCTCTATCAGTCTATTATGAAGTAACAGAGAATTTAATAAGCAGTATATTGTACAAAATCCAACGCTGAAAATCTTGGAATAGTAACGTTGTTGGTTTTTACATATCATCATTATAACTACTATAATCCCTTTTCTGCTATGATACATTACTCTCCATTAGGCTAATGTTCCCTATTTGCTTTACTATTACCATGTTAAAAGGTACGCCTGCTTCACAAAATTTAATTTACATTAGGGGAACTACTACAACGAACTCCATAACAATAGAAGGTGCCCTATTCTTTACGCTGGATTCACACAATAAACTACCATGAACACTATCCTTACGTGTCTATTTTTTGTATGTATATCTGTTTTACTTGTATCAAATATCTAATATTGTATTATTAAATACATACACAATGTCATTTTTCTCTCAATAGAACACCGTTCCTCAGCAATGGGATAACGCAGGTTAATAATAATGATAAATCAATTGTGGCTAATTTAATATGAAAGCATTACCATTCCATAATTATATTGAGAATTTTAATATTAGGTATATCTACGCAAATGTATAAGTACAGATGGCCAACTAAACCACTACAAATTATTGAGAATATTAGATGGATACAGAAATACTAAATCCCATCAAAAACATAAATGTGAAATGATAGCCGAGTTTAATATTATGATATATGGCTTGATTGTTGACTTCTACGACAAAAGAGATGAGATCTAAATGGGTGCCAAGTTCAATGGTCTGTCCTGAAATGTATTTATAACAATATAAAATATCATTTCTTCTTATAACTTAGGATAATATACTGTAGCCTAAGGTCTAACTTGGCCAGTTCTCATATACCAATTATTACTTTCGATTGCTAGTTACTATTAATATTAAAATAGGAACCGACAAGTGACATGTTTAGAATTTGCGAAGGCTACAGTATATTTCGTATATGAAAACTAGCCAAGTTAGACCTTAGGCTACAGTATATTATCCTAAGTTATAAGAAGAAATGATATTTTATATTGTTATAAATACATTTCAGGACAGACCATTGAACTTGGCACCCATTTAGATCTCCTCTCTTTTGTCGTAGAAGTCAACAATCAAGGTATATATCATAGTATTAAACTCGGCTATCATTTCACATTTATGTTTTTGATGGGATATCATTACTTTTTGTACAGAAATTATACGAGGTACTTATTTATAACTAAATTAATACCAAATTATTTTTGATAAATTACTGTATTTTCGTATATTTACGGGGTATAATTGTCTTTTTTTTGTGTTATTTTCTATATTTTCTTGTAACTTTTAAATGTTCAAGTGCAATGCCAATTCAGTATCAGGAATTTTTGGGCAAATCGGGGCGGTATAACGTCCACAGATGGTTGTACTCTACAATAGAGCTCTCGTGACTTGGATCAAAATTGTTAAGACATACTATCTAAGGTTTTAACTCTGAAGACTCCAACGTAAACCTGCCCTTTATTAAATATAGAAATATTGCCAAAACTAAGGCCTTGTGATTTGTGGATAATAGGTAATATTATATTAAATACATATGTTACAAATACAATTGTTCTCTATCAACATATACATTATTTAATATCTGAAACTTCGTATTGACACGTTATAGTTCGTAAAGACGATTATGTAACAAATTGACTGTTATCTATTGAATTCTCAAGAAAACAATTTGTTACCAATAAGTTCTCATTCTCGAGTTAACTGTACATTCCTACTTTTAACTATACTAAAATTGTTATTAATTTTTGGTTTAAACTATTGTCTATACCATACGTATTTACTAAAATAATGTAATAATAATATAATCACAAATATATAAGTATAATTTAAGAAAGCTATAAATTTCGTAGCATAAATCGCAACCTTATAGGTTAGATATCCAGAAACAAAACATTGAGTTTTATCGCACCGCTCCCACACGGCGCCACCGCGGCGCCCTGTACCGAAATGCCTACTAGTTAATAATTATTTATAAAAATAATGATTTTACACTATCGATGTGCGCTAAATATTGAAACAATAATTAATACCAAATCTCAGTTAATAACATAATAAATACGAAATTCGACTATACTCCTAGTATATTTTAGACAGAATCTAAATTATAGCAACTAGTGTTTACCGCTCAATGCAATATTTAAAGTTTGCTAGTTATCGACACTGATGTGTCAACGTAAATTGGTAATGATCGACGTTTTCATACAATATTATGGTCCAGTACAAGATGAGAAATCAATGTCAATTGGTGGCTATCGACGTTTTAATAGAATTTTAGTATTCGTCCAGTATAAGTTGAAATAGAATCAATTAAAGTGAAAAATTGTAGTAAAATGATAACAATTTACCAGTTTCAGATTTTTTACTTTATATTCACCTAATTACCTAATACCAAATTTGAACTTCCTAGGTCATCTGGAAGTGGGTTATAATTTTGATCTATAGTTGATCAGTGATAAAAATGACGATTTTTGGACATTAATATCTAAATAACCGTTTGAGATATGTTTATGAAATTTGGAACACATATTTATCTCGCAAGTCTCAATATATGAACAAATTTGACAGGTTTGTGTGAAAGAGTTTTTGAGTTATGAGGGGGTCAAAAGTGGCTCCAAATGGTTCGTGTAAATATACACACGGTGCTGTTTACTTGAAACTCTTACGCTGCCGCGTGTCTAGATCTGACTACTTAAGATCAGATATTTACTTATTTTAGGATTTAGAAAAGAAACACAAATACAATATGTATTAATGTAGTCTTATCCTATATTAAATGCTAACCAAACGAAAAATCGCTTAATATACTTATATATACAAAATAACTGAAGTCAAAATTAAGCCCTTCTGAAATCAATTAACAATAAGTGTAAAGTGAGTTGTTAGTAATGTGATTTTTTAACCCCATGGCCAATAATGTACTATATCAAATTTACCTCCACGCGGGTCTCCCTGGAAACAAATATCATGATAAATTTGACACAATGGACTAACTGATTTAACCTCATTCTCGTCTTACCATCCTTCACTGGTGGCCTACCTACGTATACCATTAGCGCAGGTGAGACCACCATTCCATTCTCAACCATTAAAAAAATTACGTTTCTATGGAATGTGATAAATACGAAGTTGTTCTATCTTTTTATGTGTTTTCATTGTTTACTCGTGTACGCCTAGTGCTATAACTGTTTGAAACATTTCATCATTTAGAGCGGTATAAAACGCAGATGACCCTAATATCGGTGGCGATATTCGAGCAGTGCAGTGAACCGAGGAGTCCTAAATCACCCAAATAGTACCATTATCACTAGATACCATTATTATTTTCCTTGACGATTTGTTTACACTCGAGAAGTTCTATGATGCAATTCAGAAATAAAAAAGTAGTTTATCTCTCTCTTATTTTTGTCTACATGAAAAAATAGATATCAGGCACTAAATTATATTTTAGTTGAAAATTAAGCTTGTACATAGTAAAGGTATAATCGTGTACTCTTATTTCTTTTCACTCTATTTTCTTCCACGTCAAAAATATCAACTACGTCAAAATAAAAAAGGGTAATGAATACTGGAGTAATGTTATTGATTTAAAAATTCGCCAATGATAGCTCCAAATAATATTATCTTCTTTTTATTTGATCATTAAATCCTGTAGTAAATTTTTTTAATTGCGTCTATTAATTAAAAGTATAATATTTTGTTACATAATTACCTTTTCTATACTCGTTTTCAAAGTTGCAAAATACTAGCCTAACGAGTCATAAACATGCTCGTAAATACCCCGCCATATTTGTGGTACCTACCATAAATAACCGAGAACAATGAACAACCGTTATAATAAAACATATATAGACGTTTCCATCGAGATAAAGAGATATGCATAAAATATGTAAAAAATATTCCACTAGTTAAATGTCCGTAATAAATTATGTACATTTCTGTCCAAATGCTTTATATTTTCGGTCCTAAATGTCTTCAATCTGCCAATAAAATTATATTATTATTTAAATTTGTCATTTACAGCGCATGTAATTAGAATGGACGAAAACAAAAGCGCCCGAGGAAAACAAAACCAATTTATTAATAGTTCAGTGACCTTTTATAATAATAATTTGAAATATTTAATGTAATACAAAGGTATTTATAAGAATTTATTACTAATAAATAATACATTTAAACATTTCAATACTCATACTTCATTTAATATTCATATAATACCTGTGTATTTATTTAGAAACGATTATTGTCATTTCTATAGAGTCCTAGCAAGGATTTATTTTACACATATGTTAAACTGA